TTTCTTCGTTCACCTCTGATTCTGCCTTCCCCTTTGGAAGAATCAATCAAATGTGTGTGCGCTGTGTTACTGTCAACTTGGGATGCTTGTGGATCGCCAGTGGTCTGTCTACGCCTTTTCTCTTCCACCGTATCTGAGATTGTACCAGTACTTTGTCGTTTTCTATAACCACTGGAGCCACTACTAGAGCCTTTCCCCCTAAGTTTAGAGGTGTCTGCTGAAGCACTGGCCTTCTCTACAGACCCCCCTGATGACAACTGATCTTGTTGATCTGCCATAGATTAATCGACTCATGCCACTATTCTGTCTGTAATTAAAGAATTAAAAATGAAACAATTTTTATTATACAAATAGAGCTAAATATAGCATTATTTTCTTATTTGTATTTATATTTAATTATAATTAAAATATTTGAAATAGATGCATGATAAATAATTTTAGATAGCTAAGAAAATTTCTAAGAAATTTTGATGAATTTAATGTTTTTCAATGATCTTTCATATAAATCGATAAAATAATTTGTATAAATAAAATTTGAAATATATATAATTAAATATTAATTTTTTCAATCAAATTTTTAAATATATTTAAAAAAAATACATATCTTTTTTCTCTAAACAAAAAGTAAAACAGTTGGAAAAATATCAGATAAATATTAAAGTGTACTTGTGAATTATCATATAACATCTTTGTGTCCATGTAATAATGAAAACAACACAATGGAAGAAAACCAACACGTCATTAAAAATGAAATCGGTCGTATATCGCGGATAGACTGCGATACGGAACAAAAGTTTCCTTATTGCAGTCTTCTCTGCAAACATTCTCTTTGTTGGAGGAAAACGTAAGAATGCTATCGCTCCCATACGAAGCGAATATTTACTTTCGATTAGCTCGCATTCGAAATCCGTAAGTCGCACGTTCACGCGCAACGATATAGAATGGAAACTCACGATGGTCAGGTGTTCGCGTTTAAATGAGCACACAATAGGAATTAAATGCCTGTCGACGATCAGCGGATTTCGTCGCTGGATGCACGATCTTTAACGCTGTTACAACGAATGTTGAAACGAACAGCAGCAGCAACACGACATTCGCAGCGATATCGATGAGAGTGATTTCTAAAATAACAAAATAAAAAAAAATCCATGCCTTGACGCGAGCCATATGCGCTCGGATAACAAGAGCGTGACTAAATAAAACGGTCGGTCGCGATACGCAATTAATGTTTTTTTTTCCTCGCGCCACATCGAAGAAGATAATAACGAACCGAGAATCATAACAAACAGTACGCGACTGCTAACTAGCTGGCTGGCTGGCTGGCTGTTTGGTTGGCTGGTTGGCTGCTTGATTCTTCCGTCCATCCGATATCACTTGCTAATGCGAAATTGTGCCGTTGACATGACGGCGAGGGCCCCTTGCCCCTTTCCAGCTCGACTCGGGTGATTACTCGCGACAAAGCACGATAAAGGCACGAGTCAGCGACATCGGCGAGCGAAGCAGGGAGCTTCGAACCCAGATACCTCGAAACTCTGAATTTGTAGCGTAACAAAGACTCGCGAGCGAGCCACCATTTGCTCGCGATCGAGTAATGGAGGACGGGGTTTCTCGTCCTACTCGCACGCGCTCTCCTCTCTCGCTCGCTGTGACCTCAGGTTGAAGTCCTCCAAAAAAGAGAGAAGCCTCCCCCCTTCTTCCTTACCCTTATCCCTACGCCCTCCCGTGCGCCTCGACCCGCGACTCATCCTCCCTTCCTCCCGCCTGCCCTTCCTTCCCACCCACTCGCTCGCCCCACGCACTCTTTTCGATGCTTTCGTCAGGGACTCTTTTTCGAAAACAGTTAACCCAAGTACGCGCACGTATGCGTGTATGTGTGCACATATATGTATATCTTTACCTGAATGTGGGAAAAACATGCCCAGGGCATCGCGACGATCCGAGTTATCCTCTCTCAGCTTGGTAGAACGCGAGACGAGGAGAACCTTCGCTCCCCTTGGCTTTATCGCTGCATACGGACACATACACCCGCACGCATGCACGCACGCACGCGAGATTGAGAAACGGCGAGCGTAGATATCGGGAGCGTTCGTGGCTACGTCCGCGCACGGCGCACAAGAGCGAATAAAACGTACACACACCACCGATCACTGCAGGGAAAAAAAAAGAAACAAACAAGAAGACACAACACAGCGAACGAACCGAGACTGAAGGCGAGTCGGCGGAATGCGACAGCGACCGTCGGGTATCGGGTTGGTTAGGACTGGGTGGCCGCAGGACGCTCCGCCCCCGTCGCCAATGTCACACGCCAGCGAAGCGAGCTAGCCCGCAAACGCACGGTCGGCACGCACGCACGCACGCACGCAGCAGGCAGGCAGGCGGACAGAGACACGCACACGCGCACGCACAGTCCAGAAGCGACGGGAAACCAGTTATCTCCGTTTCGTTCGGAAACCTGCCGCTCTCTGGGAGAAACCCCACCGTGCGCATGCGGGAACCCGAGCGACCAGTCACGTGACTGCGCTCGACAGACTCGTGCTTAGATGCAAGGGTGCGCGTAAAGATTTTTTTTTTCTCTTTTTCGTTTAGGTCTTACTTGGGCGCTGATTCCATACGTTAGATACGTACATTGTTCATTTTCATGAATTTTGTAGAAACGAATGAAGAAGTTTGTTGGCGAGACGTTTCGTGTTCATATGCATCTTAACGATAACGATGTGGAAGAAAGAATTATTTTATCTCGATGCACTCGATAGGAGGGAAAGTAGTCGCATGATTCCTATGATTGGGTTGCAACAGGATGATCTAGAAACTTGAAATAAAATTGATGCGCGATTATATTTCTCTCCGCATTTAACGACGCTTCTCGCTGCGCGTGCGCGAGATTTCTCCCTCGATTTGGAAACACCGTTTGCCGTTACTGATGGCCTGGCTCGGCGCGAACGGCCATCTTGCTCGGCCGTTTTTTAAATCTTCATTTTCACTGCGAGACGCAAAAACCGGCCCGGACGGAGGCCGAGTTCGCTTACGTAAATTGAGCTTTTCCGAGATAATCGAAGCGACGATAGCCACACGACGTTCGCATGCGATATTACCTTCTTGCGTAGACGATCGATCGATCGAATTCTCCGTCGCAAAAAAATATTATACATAAAAAAAAACACGTATATATATGTATATATGTGCGACGTTTACCTCTCATGTGTCTCTCGCGTGCCTGCCGTTTATGTAACACACGTTTATGTATTTACATTTATGTGGACGTGCGCGTTATCGCCAACGGAAATTGATGACGCTCGCGTGAAATAATTTTGTCATCGTTCACCTTTAACGTCGAGTAGAAAAGTGAATCACAGGTAGTCGTTACTGATTAGCTACCGCTGATTGTTCGATGTAATACGGCTTGTAAGACGCGTATGTTGCTTCGAATTCATTAGCCGAGTAAATTTCAAACTCGACTCGTCGTAAAGAAAAATGTCACGCACGATCATTACTAACGTCACTCGAAAACTACGAAATTTCCAAAGCAAATAGATAACGCTCGCGCGTCTCAAACGACAAAATCTTATCTATTACCTCGGCGATTGTACGCTTTACAAATCCGCTGTAAAATGACGCGGCGCGTTTACATAAAGCACGTTCGTTCGTTTCAAGGTCTAATTGATCGTATGCGTATTCAGAGCCGATCGAAATTGTATGCGCCACTGCGACAGTGTGGAATTACACGGATATACGCAAGACGCGACGAGAGGGCTTGTTGCGTCGCATCTCGTGTCGGAGGAAACGACAAAAAAGGGAGAAAAGCGAAGCGAGAAAACGCCTCGCATTTATCGCGTAACAGATGTCAGATTCTGTCTACTCCGATCTCGGATATATGATATACGATTAGCTGAAAAAAAAAATGCATTTGACGACGGTCAATTAGTCGTTAATAAACCCGTGTCAAAACGCGAGCGATGTCAAAACAGCCTGCCTTGAGATCAGCTGTCCGATCGGTCGCGTTTTCCTGTCGCACGCGACACGCGATCGATCGACACGGCTGTGTAACCGGTCCTTCGCCAACGTATCCGAGTAACGTTCCTACTCACCGCAAAAAGGGAGCTCCTCCCTGGAAGTCGGACTCCAGTTACGCAATGCGATGCGCGAGGGGACACGTGAAAATACAGAGTGAGCTGTCAAGTCGATCCGTTTGCGTCGTCTGCTACCGCGAGATATCTCGACCCGAGTGATTACAGACGACGCGCAGTGTTTCAGCGGATTCGCGAGGAACGCATCGGTCGTCGCGGGTCGAACTCGCCGATTGGTCAACGAGCCGCGGTCCTCACGCGCCGACCAATCAACGAGTCGGACGAGGACGCGGTGTTTTCATGTCACTCGTGTAAATTCGCCATGAGACGGCAAGTCCGTTGCGATTTCGCCCATTCGATATCGCGATTTGACAAGAGGCAGCTAGGTTATGTTTGAATCCAACGCACACATAATTTTATTTTAAAGCCTGTTTCGCAAGGTAAGCCATTGGATGAAAAATTTTACATTGTTATTTTTTATCGTAATAATTTTATCTTATTCGGGATAATGTAAAGTTACTCAATTTTTTACAACTTTGAGCATTTTTCAAGAAGTTGGGTTAGCGTCAAATATGTACAAATTTAAACGACTGGAATATAATGCTTCTTATTCGATTATTTCTAAGCTAATAAGTTATTCGGTAAAGAAATATACATGTAATAAAATTGTTTATATTTTGCATCAAAGTTAATATAAAAGGATAGTAATCCATTTCTGACAATCACAGTAAAACAGTAGCAATTTTACATTTAGAATAAATATACGTAAATATATATATATATATATATATATATATATATATATATATTATCTTATTTTTTTATTTTTTAATCTTAATCAATAACATTTATCTATATTGTTAGTTTGTACTATGTTATAGCGAAGTACTATATATATATATATATATATATATATATATATATATATATATTTGCTTCATTTTCTATCCATACCATATAACAATTCTTTCAGTGATTCTTCATTTATGGTTTGCAATGTATCAGTGTCATCTTTGTTATGGTTAAAGCTTTGTTCTATACCAGAATCTACTGCATTTATTTGTACATTGTCAGAGACTTGTGGAAAAGTAGTATAAGAATCTATCGAATCATCTTTATGTTTAGGTGAAGATACTCTCAATTGTCCCATCTTGAAAGTAGGAGATGATATTCTATTTTCCATAGGAGACATCACCATGGAAAAGAAATCATTTGTGCTTTTTAAATCTATCTTTTCATTATCTGATTGTGTTTTCTCAATTGATTCCACAGATTCCTCGAGTTGTACAGAATTAAAGTTATTGGTGTTCTTTGAATCTTTATTTGTATTACCAACATCTCTAAATTCCACATTCTCTTCTTTTCTCTTAGGAGATACATTATTTATCTCTGACTGTAGTGCTAAAACATGTTGTCCTTGAGCGTTGATTATTAATACAAACTTATTCTCCTCATTATTGATAGCATTTAATTGATTTTCTTGAAAGGTATTAGTCTGTGATTCAATTGTTTTGTCATGAGCATCTTGTGCAATCATCTCAAACTGCTGGGTATTGCTTGACGTTTGTGCAGGACATTTATGAGTTCTTTGACTCACCTATAAATATAATTCAAATATAGGAATTATTGAAAAGCAAAAATATATGATTGAAATATTTTATTTATATTAAATGTATAAATTATTTTTTTTCTACCTTATATCGGAAGCTTTTGCCACACATTGTGCATTTATAAGGCATCACTCCTGTGTGAATTCGACGATGGACTAAGTACGAAACACGTTGACGAAAACATTTTCCTGCAGAAATTAGTATGGCATTGTAGGGAGACCATTACTATCACATTATATAGCTTGTACATTTACAAGATAAAATGTAGAGCATTTTTTGTGGGAATATCCTGTTTTTACCAAGCATATCATGCATAGCACATTATAATGTTATAGTCACTACACAAACAAAATAATTTTAATGTCAATTATTAGTTTATTCAAATAACAAACAATGTGAGCGATAAATCGGTTAACATCGCACTAGCTCATATTTTTAAAAATAGTTTTCTAATTGTTGTTTTCTAACATACCACATGTTTCACATGCAAATGGTTTCTCTCCAGTGTGAATCCTTTCATGATTATGCAATGTAGAAAGCTCTTTGAATGATCTACCACAAGTTGCACAGCTATGAGGTTTTTCATCCTTATGATAAAATCTATGCTTATGATATGATTGCTGAAAGGTGAAGCTTTTTTCACATATTTTACATTTGTATGGCATTTCCCCTGAATGTAATCGTTTATGTTTTTTCAGAAAATACTTGGTTGTAAACAATTTACTGCAAGTATCACATTCCCACTGTTTGCCTTCATGGGTTTTCAAATGTTGTATCACATGTTGTTCCTGTAATAAGAACATAAATAAGATTATTAACAGCAGTTTGTAAAAATTGTGTATATAAAAAAAAGAATAATGTCCTCACTTTCTTAAATTTCTTTCCACATGTAGGACAAGCATATCCAGTATCGTTGCATGTAAGTTCGATTTGGCCATCTTTAGAAAAAGAACCTGTTACATGTGAATGCGAAATTTGTTTTCATTTATTTACATTAAGTGATTAATTAAATAAATTGTATATATATAATTTTACTTACCTAAATTGTGTCCAACATGTGCTACTCTCATATGTATCATTAAACTACCTCTCATTTTAAATACCTTAGAGCACAAATGACACGAATAATTTTTAAGAACTTTCCCAGAGATATTATTTGAATCTTGTTCATGTACTAATTGTTTATGTAAAGCCAAAATGTTAGTGTCAGAAAAATGGAAGCCACAAATGTTACATCGTTCCATCTTTTTTTTCGGTGCTATAGTTCGAAAAACTTTAGTATGGGACATTTTTTTGTGCTCCGAGTTTTGATCTTGATATTCAGCATTTGTTTCAAGCATAGTTTCTTCTGCATTAGATAAATTTTGTTTGTCATTACATTCTTCTGAGACATTTGCACAAATTGGCATTATATTCTGAACTGATTGAAAATTTGAGACATCGTTTGCTTTTTCAATTAAATTTATCATCAGTCTTTCCTTTGTAACATGTTCACTATTATTCGACTCGCATTCTCTTTCAATATCTCGGTAGATATTAGTATTTGTACTCTCTGTTACTTTTGTTTCAGTGATTAAATCCGATATAGCTTTTTCTGCTTGTGTATTTTCTGTGATTATATTTAAGTGTTTAATATTATTATTACAAAAATATTGTGTTGTGCAATCTGTTTTTAATATGTCTTGCTGCAAACCTGTGGTTGGTCTTAATACTATATTGTGATTTTCATTTGATTGTGGAAAGATATTTAGTTTTATCACATCATAATTGTAGTCTGATATAAAATTATTTTCATTCGCACCTTTCACTGCTAAGTTTTGATTTTGTGCTTGAGGCTGTGAGTTTACAATAGAGATATTATTTTCTGTATTTGCTATGCCAGAATCTGACGGTTCCATACTATTGTTATCATTTGACATTTGCTCTTTACCTGATTGTTGTGTTTTTAATATATTCCACTCTTGCAGAGCAACATTATGTACATTATGAACCACATTCATATGCTCATTGGGAGCAACATATTTGGATGACTCGGTTGTATTATTATTCAAATTGATTGTATGACTAAATAAATGGATAGTTAATTTATCTATGCCTAAGAGCACTTCATTACAAACAGGACATATAAGAGGTCGAGTTGCTACACTTACAAGACCAGCTCGCAATGCATCAAGTGTTAAAAATCCAGGTTGAGAACACAATGGACACATTAAGTGTCGTGCGCACATTTTTGTCGAGATAAAATTTATCCTTATTTATTAATTATATATTATATATTATATACATATGTATATATTTACTAATCTCTATAAAATGATATATGCACATCTTTGCATTCGTAATTATGTAGAATACCATTTAGTTTGAATATGTTCCAACTTTTATAGGACAGTTAACCATCATGATTGTAAAATTCTGATGATAAATAATACACAAATAATACGTTGTGTAATTGAAAGTTGACATTGTGCAGACTTATTAAAATTATTGATGTTATACTTGAACTTGATCTAATAATTTACAAAATAGAATTCAGTGGTATATAATCTCTCATCTGAGATACTTTAATAAAATATTACGAAATATTATACTAAATTCTGAACACTGACACTGTATACATAAAATTCTCACACCTCATCTAAATATAGAAAGATAGTTTAGGATATCTGTGCTGAATTCCTGTGTGTCTCTGTGGAGTATGTCTGATGATCAGAAGTTATATTTAGAAAACTGGTGGGATATTCAAAATATCAGAGTGTTGCCAATATATGTATTAAATATCACTTGTATAACTTGTCAAATTTACAAATTAATAAATATTAGTTATTTCATACAAAAAAATGTTATCTTCAGTTTAATTACATTTATATGGTGAGCCATCTTTACAACAATATTCTCTACCCGCAGACAGATTTGTATTTATCCATTCATCTTTGCAATTCTTAATGAAAAGATAAGCCTGTAAAATAAAAATATGCATAATGCATTAAAATTATATAATTTGTGCGTAAAAGCTATGTATGTAATTATATTATATTTTTAATTATATTTTTATAAAAGATCAAGAATTTTATAATGGTATTATAATAAAATTAATTTGAATATAATACTTACTCTTTCTTTGTAACAATCACGATCTAAAGAAGCACAAAGAATTGTTGGACTGTTTGGTAAATATTTTACTATCTGTAAAAATACAGTTTTAATCATTATTATAAATAATAAAAAAAATTAAGTATTAAATTAAGTATTTGAACTTATAGAACTTATGTAATGTGAAAATGTTAAAGACAATATTGTAATTTAAAAACTCACAGCTTCAAGGCATTTGCTGGTACAAAGTCTGTTTCCAAAAGAATTACATGGTAGTGGATCAGGATGTTCATGAAGGAATGCAGGATATCCTTTAGGTTGCTGTTTACTTCCTTTTGTAAATTGTCCACTTAAAAATACAGCACAGACACAGCCAATTGACTCTTCACTTGCATATGATGATTTAATATTTATATCAGTACTGTTCTTTTCCGCATAAGAATATGACATGCAAAGAGCCATCATCACCAATGCTAAATACATTTTGGCCTGAAATATAAATTGCAGTTACAACAATGCTTTTTAATTTTATAAGTCCATATGTTAACCATGCTCCAATTTATTATAATTTTGAGATATTATAATTTTGACATATTATTTCAAAGGATAAAATAAAAAGAAAGAATACTTCTAAGTTCTTGCTTCTCTAAAATATCAAGATAATTAAGTATCAATGATTTAACTTGTTCACTCAGAGAGAATTTCACTGTGTCACACTTCAAAAAACTTTATTCAAATGCAATAAGACTGAAGTCTTAAATCTTATTAATGTCACATTATGTTGCAATATTATAAATATGGGGTCACATTGGTCACAGAATGCTTATTAAGCAAAATTTCAGATTTCAAACATAGTAAGAATTTCATTTTAATCGTATTATGATTATAATTGGAATGTACACAATTGAATAACAAGCAAATTTGTTTAATGAAGATTTCAAGGATAGTCGAGCAACAAAATTGTTCATAATGAGAATTTAGAAAAGAATAAAAAAGAATTTAAAATGTAATTTATTGATAGTGAATTAATAATATAATCAATAAATTATATAAATATGTGTCCCTCAATTATTAAAATTTAAATATAAGACATCCAAGCAAAAGATATTGAAATATGACATTACAAAATGCAAAGCTTTATTTATAATATTTTTACAGTTTTTTTGTCATAATGATGACAATATTTACAGTATTTTTCTCATAACTTTTGCTTCTCCTTGTAATACAATTTTATCTCCATTAGCGATACACATATATACACATTTAATAATTTTTCTTACTGATACAATTTTTACTATTACTTCTACAGAATCACCAGCATAACATGGTTTAGGAAATGTAAGATTTTGTTCAATAACTATAGTGCCTGCACCTGGTAACTTTGTACCAATTAATCCTGATACAAGACCATTAAGCAAAGCACCGTGTGCAATATTTCTCGCTGATTCAGTATGTATTGGATTATAATCACCTGTTAATTCAGCAAATTTGAGTATGTCATCATTTGTTATCACTTTAAAAACTGACACTTGATCTCCTTCTCTCAGATTGTTCATTGCTGTATTAGCAAATAATCTTGTTTTAAATGAGCTGTTCATAGAATAATTTTTGAGAAATCCAGTAAAGAATTGAATTAGTTTCATGATGTTATCTTATTACCTCTTTACAGTCAAAAATATATAATTATTATTATTAATTATTCTTAGTTAAATATATAAAATTAAATTTATCATCAGAAATCTCATCATTTCTTATAAATTATTTAATTATTCCTTATTGGAAATTAATTATTATCCTTCAGCTTTTATCTTTTCCACTTCACTTGCTTCGCAATAATCACTTAGAAATATGATTGCTAAATTTTTAATACGGATATTAGTATCATATGAAAATTCTAACATGCATTTAATTATTTCGGCTGATGTTATTTCATTCCTTGATTCAGAAGTGATCAAAAACATCAAGGTAGAAATGGCCGAAAGCACGATATCTTCATCTCTAGAAGAAAGTAACGATGATATTAATTCAACACCTCGATTGCGTAAGATATAAATCTTATTTATAGCATCTGAAAAAAGAATATTACATGAATAATATAATATAATAATAATGTTAAACATCATGTGTAAATATTCTGTTCCATATGTTAAAGATATACTCTTACCTAAGCACAAATTGCATATACCACCAATAGCAAACTGTACCAATTTTGGATTGTTTTCAGACAAACTATCAAGAAATATATCAATTATTTGTAATTGTCTCATATATCCATAATTTATAGGATCATAAGCAAAATTCGCCAAATTTGACAATACTTGCTCCTTTGCGTCTAATAATTTAAAAACAAGGTAAAATGATATTTAATGTTACTATATTGATCAAAAAGTCTATATACATTCGTATTATATAATATATTTGTATTTTACATATATATAATTTTATCACCTATTTTTTTCTTACCTTTAGATTTAGTTGTTTTGTACTCTGTGGCTAAAAGTTTTAAGAAATCATAACGTCCGACACCATTCTTGCCTGTGCGTTGTATTAATCGTGCCTTAGTTGAGAACATTGAAGTCGCAATATATAAAACTTATTTCTCTATTTTTTCTTACAGTCAATAGTATGCACTTGTCGAATATTATACTGTATGGTTAGGTTTTATCATGATATAAACATATGCATCTAAGAATATATTGTCAAAAATTTTATATAAAGTTATATATATATGAAAAAATAATACGGTCAAATATAAAAAAGAATATATTCGATACACACATTGCTAAACAGTTAATAACCTGCAATATAACTTTATGTGACAAAAATTTTATTATAAACTTATAATTGGGGATCAGACTTTATTTATGCATTTCATTTTTTTTTAATAGTAATTGAATATAGTCGCTTTTTTAGAATTTGGATTTCGTATAGATATACCACGTGTCAAATATATTCTGCAAATATTGAGGATGTGTTCCTTTTGATGCTACGAAAATTTCGAGTCGTTCGATTGGCCAATCAAATAAAAGAAATAAAGATTTTTTTGCTCTGATTGGTTAATCGAGCGCTTTGACCCTTTCGTAATGTCAAATGGACAATAAAGTTTAATGCATACTTCTTGCAATTAAGAGTTTATGAAATATGATTGGTGAATGAATCGAGTGGTATGGCATCGGAACGTATACACGTGGAACATACCCGTCTTTCCTCGTCGTGTTCTTATCCAAGTGCCGTAGGTGGCTGCCGTGGTGGAAGTTGATGGAAGTTATGGTTTACACGTAGCCGGTGTTTGACGTGTCCTAGCCTCCTAGCTTAGGCATTTGGTAGCGATTTGATAATTTGTTTGCGCGCCGCTTGAGTCTCGCAACGTGCACAGGATCACGGGTATTTATATGCACATATGGCGAATGCCACGTTGTGAGTATATTTTAATATAACGCGAATATATATACTCACACGCGTATATATCTCCCTCTCATTAACACCCGTGGAAACAAAATGCAAAGGCGACAAAACATGCTGCCCAACAAGTCATCGCCGTCTTCATCGTCGTCCTCGTCGTCCAGCACAGCTAACGCGAAGGTCATGTTTCCCGATAAGAGACCAACGACCAAGCAAATGAAATCGTCCACCCTGACGAACGCCGCCGGCCTCAGTTCTCTCATCACCTTCACCGTTCTCTTGCTCGCTTGGATCTCGGGTTTTGCCTCGCGGCTCTTCGCCGTCATACGTTTCGAGAGTATCATACACGAGTTCGATCCGTGGTACGTACTCTGCGCCAGTTTCTTCTCGTCCCCGTGATTAGCAACTCCACTATTATGTCATAGTGTAAAGAAATGATTAACTTTTGTTTTGTTATTATAACGAAATTATGAAATAAATTGACTTTAATATTTTATTTTTATCTAGAAAACACATAAGAGAATTTGTATTTTCATTTAAAATCATACATATATGAATATTTTTTAATGATCGATGATTGAATAAATTGAACAATTATTTTATATAGCTAGAATAAAATTTCTATTTATTTTAATAAGCAAAAAATAAAAATTGTTATCAAAAAGTATAACTAATTTAAATATCTGAAATTTAGGTTTAACTACAGAGCGACAGCATACATGGTGCAACATGGATTCTACAATTTTTTAAATTGGTTTGATGAACGAGCGTGGTATCCACTGGGACGGATTGTTGGTGGAACCGTCTATCCTGGACTCATGATAACATCTGGATCGATACACTACATTTTGCACTCTTTAAACATACCAGTGCATATAAGAGACATATGTGTATTCTTAGCTCCAATTTTTAGTGGCCTTACTGCCATATCTACATATTTATTAACAAAAGAAATATGGAGCGCTGGAGCTGGCTTATTCGCTGCTTGCTTCATCGCTATTGTACCTGGCTACATCTCGAGGTCCGTAGCTGGCAGTTATGACAATGAGGGAATTGCAATCTTTGCATTGCAAATCACCTACTACCTCTGGGTTAAATCGGTCAAAACTGGTTCAATTTTTTGGGCGAGCATAACTGCTCTGTCTTATTTCTACATGGTATCAGCATGGGGAGGCTATGTGTTCATTATTAATCTCATTCCACTTCATGTATTTGCTTTGCTGGTCATGAATCGTTTTAGCAATCGGTTATTTACCAGTTATACAACATTTTATGTTCTTGGACTTTTATTGAGTATGCAAGTACCATTCGTCGGTTTTCAGCCGATTAGAACTTCCGAACATATGGCAGCAGGTGGTGTATTTGGTCTTCTAATCTTTGTAGCAGCTCTTAGGTATGTATTATTTTAATTTATTGACATTTGTTAATTATTTGTTATATTATTTGACTATTTGAGAAAACATTCTCTTTAATATACATTGTAATATACTAATATTGTTTTCTTTCATTTCAGATACTTAAGAACTGTACTTACCAAGTCCGAGATGAAATATTTCGGTGGTGTAGTAGCTGTGACAGCAACTATACTCCTATTAATTCTGATTGCATTAACGTACGCTGGTGTTGTCGCTCCTTGGAGTGGTAGATTTTATTCTCTTTGGGATACCGGTTATGCCAAGATACATATCCCTATAATAGCATCTGTATCCGAACATCAACCAACAACTTGGTTCAGCTTTTTCTTTGACTTGCACATTCTTGTCACGACATTCCCAGTTGGTCTGTGGTACTGTATTAAACACATAAATGATGAACGTGTTTTTGGTAAGAGATTATGATGAGAATATTATATTTTAGAAAATTAATTAAAGATAAATAATATTATTTAATTTTTTTCACAGTCATACTATATGCCATAAGTGCCGTTTATTTCGCTGGAGTGATGGTGAGACTTATGTTGACTTTAACTCCAGTAGTGTGTATGCTGGCTGGTGTTGCTATCAGCAAACTTGTAGAGCTATATCTCAAGGAAGAAGACAGGGACGATCGTAACGGTACTGAAAGCAATGAAGAGAGTGAAGAGGAAAGAGAGAGAAGTCCCGGTAGAGCATTGTATGACAAAGCCGGTAAATTACGTAGAATGAAACATGAGAGGCCGAAAGGTAGCGGTGATGGATTAGGCGCCAATCTACGTAATGGCGTTATTATCGGCATGTTAATGTTATTGATGATGTTTACTGTGCATTGCACATGGGTGACCAGCAATGCATATTCTAGTCCATCTATCGTTTTGGCTTCTTATAGTAACGATGGCGGCAGAGCCATACTCGACGATTTTCGAGAGGCTTACTACTGGTTAGCTCAAAATACGCCCAATGATGCGAGAGTTATGAGTTGGTGGGATTATGGATACCAAATTGCTGGTATGGCAAACAGGTATACAATACATTTATAAAATCCTATGTATTTAAATTAATGTGCAAAGTTAATCACTAATAAGACATTATCATTAAATCATTAACAACATTGTCATGAATAATTACCATTAAATCATTAATAACATTGTCATGAATAATTTTTTTGTAGAACTACACTCGTGGACAATAATACGTGGAATAATTCGCACATAGCTCTGGTTGGTAAAGCAATGAGCTCGAACGAAAGTGCCGCTTATGATATTATGACATCTCTAGATGTAGATTATGTATTGATCATTTTTGGCGGTATGATTGGATACTCTGGTGATGATATTAATAAATTCTTATGGATGGTCCGAATCGCCGAAGGCGAACATCCTCAGGATATCCGCGAGAGTGATTATTTCACTGAGAGAGGAGAATTCCGCGTGGACAAAGAAGGTTCTCCTACTCTATTGAACTCGCTAATGTACAAACTGAGTTACTATCGGTTCGGAGAAGTTAAAATGGATTATCGAACGCCTCACGGTTTCGATCGCACTCGTAACGCCGAAATAGGCAATAAAAATTTTCAGTTAACATATCTGGAAGAAGCTTACACTACTGAACATTGGCTTGTCAGGGTTTACAGGTAAATAATGACATTTATACAATCACTTTGATTTATCTTAAAAAATGTTTTGTCATCTTTATATATCTTAAATTTCTATATTAATATCAATTGCAAAATATATTTGTAGGGTGAAAAAACCAGCAGAGTTTAATAGACCAAGAATTCCGATCTCTAAACGGGTTATTACGCGTCGTGCAAATTCGTATATTAGTAAAAAGGTTGGTATTTTCTTCTCATATATTTTAGAATAAGAAGAAAAATATTTTTTTTTATACATCTCATCTTGTGTGTGATTTTTCGTATCGTTTTGCCATTTTTATCATCATATATCAGTTGATTTGGAAACGTAGTTGAAGTTATGGGGGGTCGGGCATTGATGTTTCAGACTGCACGGCGTAGGCGAGGTTTCATAAAAGGCCGGCCAGTTGTTATTAAAGGACAGAAACCTCAACGACGAACGACGTAACGAAGATTCGCTACTATTTCATAACAATTTGCAAATACAACTTTTGTAATAAAAGAATTACCGTCCCTTGGGTCTACCACGAACTATACCTCGAACTAAGAATTTAATATCATCAAAAGAGAATTCAATCGGTTTGCGAAGAATAGAATACTTCAAAAATATAATTTCTAACATTCACAAAATAATCTGAAAAATCTATAGTTTTACCAATATTACTATTATAAGCCTTGTTTCTCATTGTTGGCTTATATCACATTATGTTGCATTGTTATCCGATTCATTTTGTACACAGATAAGTCATTAATTATTTGTTATTGCATAATTATTTGCAAGTGTATAAATATCTTTAAAATTAGCATGTGTGGCCACATTTTCCAAGATTAAATCAATATTTTTTTGTATGGATGTGTTCATTAGAGCAGATCATGTTTAGTAATATTTTTTTGTATTGTATAGATGAATTGACTTTTTTGTTTAACTTTTTTTTCTAAATTAATTGTATTTAATAATTAACGCAAAAATCTTTCATCAAATTCGTTCATTTGTTATCAAATTAAACAATTGTACCAAAATCTCATATAAATTGAGACTTGTAAGACATCTTATAGTTAGTGTACACATTTATGTTACATAGTGTGTTTATGCACATAGTATTATATCAGGCAAAATTTGTGGAATAAGCAGACTTGCCAATTTTCAGCCAGAACAGAACGACCGAATGTGTCGTGTGTACACAGTTTGTTGTATAGCACCTTGTTGAAAGATAAACATTTGTGATAACACAGTGTTGTTATTTACAAATATGCATTTAAAACAAAAACCTATTTAATTTGTTTTATTTGAAAATAAAATAAGTAACATATTTTCCGTATAATTTATATAATTTTATAAATTTTATCATAAATGCAAAACATGTTACAAAATACGTTATAACTTAATGTTTAATTTTTCTTTATGTAACTTATAAATCTTAATAAGTCATAAATAACGTGTATATATGTAAAAGCCAAAAATTATAGGCAATACAAAATCTCTGATATTAATAAGTGAAAACACATTAAACTTTTAAAATATTAAAATTAAAATTGAGATATATAAAATCAAAATAACATTGTATTTCAAGATATTCAGTTTTATTTGTCAAATTTATTTTTTAAATTATTAATCTTATCAGTTTAATGTATTTTTGAAAATGTTAATTTTATAATAATTTGTAATTTTAGAAGCTCTATAAAAATTCAAAGCAACTCATACTTTTTTATATCATATATTTCTTAATTATAATAATAGGTGCTCAAAAAATGACTATATACATATGAACATGAAAATACAATTGTTGTCTAATTGTTTTCGCAATATATGTTCAAATTTTTCAATGAATATGTGATAAAACATGTAGCAATTTTTAAATATTCAAATTAGTGATATGTATATATTTATATACATTTAATTATCTATATATTATACATAAAATTTGTATTTATGAGATTGCAAAATTATTATCAAGATAGTTGTTTTTTTAAATAAGTACCTTTAAGTTAGCTTCAGTTATTTGGTATAAACTAGTTTATTTATTTATTTATTTATTTTTTTTTTTTTTCATATATTTAAAAAGCCTCTAATAGTTCGATAACGTATAACTTTCGATGTCTCCTCGCGAAATATAAAAGAATATCAACATAGTTGGATAACGCGCGCATTTTATGATTACATTATTCATTTTATTTTAATTTCATAATTCATTGTTATGTATTTATTACGCTATTTTACGCAAACTATGTCGAAACAAATGGAAAGTTCGAGAGTTGGACGTAGTCGTAGGATAATAATGAATTCGATATACGAACAATCTCATTGTATGCTCTCCTAGCCTTTTCACGCTCATATTTTATCGCACGCGTGGATATATGAAATTGAGAAAAATCGCGCACGTCAATCGGTGTATGTTCGTCGTGCATATATATAGGTTATGTCACGTTAATCCGTAAAGTGCTGAAGACAACTTTTTATCGCTGCCGTCTCGCATAGAGAGCAGGCCTTTGTTCGTCAAACATTCCGCGCTCATAGCATCATCTAAAATTAATCGACTTTCCACGGCGTGGGAAACAGCAGAATCGCCGAATCCACGACGATACGGTCATGAATTCAGGGATTTTTCAGCTTCCGGGAACTGCTCGTGTGCACCGCGGCCGCCATTTTGCTTCCCCCGCACGTCTGATATGTCTTTCTAATGTTATTATCGATGAATGTTGAAATTTGCCCGTGAAACGTATCTCGTGCTTTGTTGTCCGGGGAGAACGAGTTTTTCTCTCGAGAAAGGAAAAAAATCGTGCCGCGGGTGCCTGATCGGCGAGACATCTCTGTCGGAAACGATTCCCACTGTCGTCCCAACCTCGGCCCAACCGCAGAAACACGGAACGGATACAGGTGCAGCCTCGCGATAGCGATCGCGAGCGATTTAATCCATCGCCGAGCGCGAGTATGCTGGCCAGCTTGTACGAGGGATATCTCTGTCCACGTCGCTAAAAGATCCCGTTTCGTCGAGTCGCAGCCTGCGCACAGTGTGTTCTGTTGTCGATGTAACGAGCTAACCTAACCAAAAAAAAACGCATCGAAGCGACGTCGCGTGTATGTGCTTATGTCAACAGTGGAGAGATCTCGCTCGATGACATGGCTCTGGTCACGCGTCTGAGATCGTCGAGAGCCGGAGATTTGGCAGTCTTCACCCTCCCGACGTCTGTCCGATGCGCGATGCGGTTGCACGAGCATGCTTAGGGCATGTTGGATGTAGACCACTACTACTATGCGAGGCAAGGATCGTTTTTATCCTGATCTAGCAATGGACTAAGTTCACGCTTACTGCTCGAACCAGGAAACTCGCATTCGCAGTAACATATATGTGGCACAGATTGATGCAGACCTGAGTTTATAGTAACGTATAGCTTTAAAGCAATGTTGCGTATACATACAATTGAAGTATTATTTCATACTTTGTAAGCATACGTTAAGTTACTATAGCGGTCATAAATTGGACAGATCGTTCTGCAAATCTTTTGTTTAGTTTAATTGTTGCAAAGTTTCCATGACGTATTTAATTATATGTATAAATACATATAATTAAAGGAAAGGATAAATTAGATATATATAATATATTGATATACTCAAGCGTTACTGGGATATCACGCAATTTATTTTTTAATTTATTCAATTTTATACAGTAATTTTGCTGCAAGTTACTATTCAAAGATATAAGTTTTGATTTTTTACTCGATGAACATAACGATATCTGTGATACAATAGAACATATTTTTTTATTTCTCACATACACACATTCAGTATTATATTTTTAATTAATAATATAACTTGAATTATACTTGGATCTTGGCATATAGCGTGAACTAAGTTTTATCTAGATAGGAAGAAAGTTGATTTGGAGAGTTTGAGAATGCAGGTGGAACAGATCTGGACAGTAGCAGCAATCAATGAAGGTCCCTATTTCCGAAAACTCAAACATGGACAATAAATTGAAGTTTTCGGACCGCTTGAAGGCTTTGCTGAAAACTGAGGCTCATCAAGATGTTGATCCGTACATTTTCAGTGAACCAGAACCATTTGCCGCGGGAAGAAATGCCACCGCGGGAAGAAATATCGCCACGATGGTTCCGTCTATAAATTCTGAAGTAATGCAAAATTGTAAAAACAATAAATCGAAAGGTAAATGTATGAAGCAGAGACTAAGGATAGCGCCTGTGTCAAACATAGACTATAAGACCATTGGAGTCAATGCTACAACGGAAACAAATATTGAGGATGGCATTGGGGAGAATTTGGATCAGAAATTTTCTAATTTGGTTCAACATAAACAGCGACATATTGAAAATTTGCAAAGATTAAAATCTAGAAAGCAAAATCGGGACCATACTCTGTTATATTATCCTAGAGCTGGAGATGAGATATTCGATAGCGATTCGAGTGGAGATGAGATGACAATCTATCAACGTCATTGGTTTCTTGGCGAATCCGTCACAACGCTAAATCGTGCAGCCCGGTTGTCTCAACTACGTTCGCAATTACAACGACAATTAATTCAATTGCGTATCAATGGAACTGACACTGAAAATATGCTACGGCAGAGGGTTCGATGTTTATTGGAGGCTGCTTCTAAAGATCCTGCTTCTACTGCAAGAAGTTTGAGCGATTCTCCAAATAAGAGCAAAGTGCTCGATGGACCACTGTTAGTTGGTGGACCATGTGGAGCGGAAGGATGCCAACAGACATCTTTACCTTGTACCCGGCATTGTTCTCGCCATATTATGTTAAATGGAGATCAGCTTTTATTTGAGCATTGCACTGCCAAGTTTAGTGACAACACACAGTGTTGTGTTCCTGTGTTTGATGTCGCGCACGAATTACCTCTTTGCCCAGAACACGCAAGGAAGAGAGACAATTATCACCGTAAAATTCAAGAATCCAAACCAAAGAAAGCGCGTAAAAAGCCAGCTTCTCCTACTATCCCAGCAAGGCCTAAACCTAAATCTAAACCGAAGAAACGCAAACGGCCGCCCTCGAATAAACTAGAGACTAAGGGAACCGCATTGATGCACGAGGAGAGTCATTACATGAGCCAAATAAATTGTAGTGAAAATCATGCCAAGACATTAAATAACTTGAATGTTCCGCAAGGAACTTCAAATTCCTCTAACTTAAATCTAGGATTGGGATTAGGCTCTCTTGGAGGACTGAGTAGTGGCCTCAAAGTCGAGCTTGGAGATAATGAAGTATTTGCTTCTTTGGATTCTGCTGAGCATGACTTTGGCACTGTGCTCAATAACTTGCCCCCTGATGCTTTTAATGACTTATTTATCGGTAATTATGTAATTATATGTATCTCTATAATTGGTAAATTTCGAGAGATTAGAAGATTTACTACATTTATTTTATAAAATAACAGATATAATTGTAAGATGATTTTAATTATAGAGGGTAGGAATGGAGATTATGAACCATCTAGAGAAGAAGAGGAGGAATTACAACGGGCTTTGGAAGAGGTTGATAAAGATGTACGAAATTTGGAGAGAATGGGACAAACACATGGACTCTTAGAGCCAGCTTTGCTCGCTCAACTTATGTCGGACATTGCCTCGTAGCCCCACTAATTCTAATGTAACAATTTTTGGAAATGAGTTCACGTGTGTTCCTTGTAACGTAGAAAAGAAGTACTGTTTGTGTCTGTGCTGCTAAATGTAAGATTGCGTTATAGACTGTTATTACATAGCCACGCAAGTCCGAGATAATGGCAGGGATTGACATACAGAAAGTAACAAAAAAAGGAGAAAAAAACAATAGCAAACTTATGAATTTAGTATCAACATCATACATATTGGGTACAATATCACGGGTAGATATGTGTCGAACGAGTAGTAATGTAAAAACCAAGAATTCCATCCTTTTTGACAAATAATCGCGGACACTTTGCGTCATCGTCGTAATACATGCAATATATTTGTAGCTTATTTGCAAATACTTTAACTTGCACTTTAAAAATTTGCTTAGAAAAATTGTTATATATAGCTGTAATTATAATACATGCAATCACATTTTTGAGAATACAGAGTGAAGAAGAAGAAAAGAAAATGTCATATAAATAATTCAGACTAGATTCCAACACATATGAGCTAAACAAGAAAAATACATAGTTTTCATTTTTATATATGGTTTATTTTTACTAAAACAAAGATCCAGAATTATCTAAATCATCTTACTAATAGCTCCCATATTTATTGAACTACATGTAATGTCTAGTTAATTACTGATTACTCAAATAATAGGTACAAAGGTATTTTTATGACTGATTTATAATGATTTTATCTGTTATCGATTATACTATGCTAATTGTGAAAAAATATTTTGATTTACAAATCACATATCTGTGGTTTACCACAGAATTTAGCTATCAATTAAATAAAATTGGACACAAATAATGTAATAAATGAAGAAGAAATATTGGTGTTTATATATATACATATAAAAAAATATATATATATAACATTGTGTATGTGTGTGTAAGTATATATATATATGTATACATACATACGTACATGCATATACACATATGTATCATTTCATTATATAGTGAATAGTCCCATGATAGAATTGTGCATTATACAATGAGAAAATTGGGATTTATATTATTTTCTTAATGGTGGAGATTTGCAACTGATATGGAAAAATGGATGATCCTCTGTACTCTGTACTCTGACGATCTGAGATATCTTGTGCAGTCTCATCTATTGAAAATATTATTCAAAAAAATTTGATTCAAATAAAATATATTTAAATACATTTCTTTTCACAATTTAAAATTCTCATTAAACTTTGTGCATAGAATATTTATATAAATTATACGACTGAATTTATAAAAAAATCCACACAGCACAGAATATTGCAACGATATTATTAATATTGTTGCAATATTGCAGTAACATTGCTGCAATATTGCTGCAATGTTCTATCCTGTATGGGAACATACATATGTCTACATAAATATATATAATATACACTTACATACATATATGTGTATATACATAGAAATAATTACATGTTCTTTCTTTTATTATTTGATCACTGCAGTAATATAACTAAATAACCACATTTATTAAATATGTTTATTGAATCATGTTCTATATTTAATGATATGTGCATAATTAATATTGTCATCCAGATCACTCTTTCTCTCTCTTGTTGTCTAAATTCTTTATATTCATGTAGACAAATGTTCAGTGAATGAATAGTTGTACTATTTAAGTGAGATACAAACTAGCAAAAAGTGCCGAAAAAATTTCATTTTTCAACATTGTTAATTATGCGACACGTGCTTTGCAGCCTTAATGAAAAGATAATATGCTGTGTAAAGTACTAATTGAGCAAAGGAAATATTGTGATCACACATATATTTCAAAAAAATACTTTTCAAAATAATTATTTGAAGAGAGAATTTTTTACGAGATATAGAGGCACAGATTCTGAAAGTAAAACTAGATTGGTGTGAAATGTTATGTTGGATGGCTGAATCACTTACTGCCATTTGACTTCTAAAGTACGTGCATAGCAGTAAATTGTTATAACTCCTTATATAATAGTAATAATGTAAAATGGACAAAATGCGCATACATATAATATGGATTATCATAACTTTAATACATATCGTAAAGCGTGAAAAAAGACGAGATACTCTGACTTTCGTGTATTACATAACTACTATTAAAATAAAGAACTTTGAACATCATTTGTTATACGCGAATATGTGTGTGCAATAACAAACAGATTGAATTCTTGAAATCTAGTTTTTATTATCAAAATCGCTGTGCCAAAAAGTGATATATAATATCTTTCTTTTTTTATGTTACGCTAATGTGTCATTTATATGAAAGAAACGGGATGTATAGGAACAGAGCTTACATACATCAAATAACTAGTTAAATATGAACGATTATACAAAGGCGCAAAAAAATAAGTTGTCACATGTAAATGCAAATGGAAACAAAATAATTTACAGGTCAATCTGGGGGGATTAAATTAATGTCGTATATAATGTTATTATATATAACGGTAGTAAGTAGAGATACAATTATTTATGAATAGGACAATGCCGAATTTAATCATAACATAAGTGCATTACTTAAGATGTATATGTGTATCTTCTTGTAAAATAGCAGCATTACTCTTGATTAGGTATCACTAATTATATTAAGCATATTTTTTATATTGTGTTACCGTACTCAGTTTATATCCATCCTTATCGTTTATATCCTAGCAATAGAATATCGATTTATCGTTATTCGAAATAGCTAGATTTTTATTTTCAGCATAGCCTTCTTTTTATCGAAAGAGATAATGTATCAAACAACTATATTTAAATGTATAATTATTTTTATTTTAGAATCGATATTCACGTTTATATTTTATGTATATCAGTTTAAGTACCGTTTATTGTTTTTCTCCGAAACTTTCAGCACATTCTATATAATATTATTTTGTTCTATTCTAATATTCAATCTATAGTGGTTGCTATAGAAAAAGTATCAAATTTTTTACGTTCGCGTCGTTTTATTTCACGAAGAATCCATTTTTTTCGAGCTACTTGACGAATTTCGTCACATCTCTTTGTTGATATCTCGAGTTGTTTCATTGGAAATTCCTCGATTGATTCGGATTTGCGGAAAGACAATCTTTCAATTTTTTGAATTTGTTCCTTCGAAGGAAAAATTTACAATTTTTCTATATATCTAGTTAATATTTTCAGATTTCTATATATACCAAAATGATAAGACACTTACAGCAATCTTATCCATAGGGATACTTTTCCGCGTTTCCGATATTTTTTTATCAAGCTCATTAATTTCTTTCGATTCTATTGTCGGTTCCTCTTCGATCGGCATCAACATTATATCGTAATCTGAACGATTGTGACCTAATACACCTATTTTAATGCCCAATCGAGATAGCATTTCCTCCTCGATAAGAAGAGCGTTTTTTAGATAAGCAATTTTCGGATCGCGCACATCGATGTCAACTATCCCTTTAAATAGAAATATAACGATATAATTATTTTTGCTACGAAATATAGCTACCCATCTTTTATAACGTCAAAAATACATCGTAGTCTAACAATTGACTAAATACAATAGAGCGCAATACCTAAGGATAGGAGACGAAAATCGCAATCTGTATATATCAATTCATGAGGTAAAGGAGAGTTTCGGAGTAACCGACTTTTTAATGCCATTGCAGGACCATGCAATATACAAATATCATCTTCCAGCATATCCTGAATAAGCAGACTACCGCTTTGTCTTTGTGCAGTATTGTACGCTTCCGTTCGAAGTAATCTATGCAATTCTAGTTCTGCGAAAAATAGATATCGCTGCACTATTACTTTTCAAAATAATTACAGATACTTTAAGCAAGATATCTGAGAAATTATATACACGATAAATAATCCACATCGAATATCCTACCAATCAAATTGTAATGTTTGCGTTGCAACGCTATCCAAACGACCCGATGAGCCGTGCTTATCAGAGATTCGAAGATCCTTAAATCTTTCTCGCCCTGCGATTGCGTGATCGTCCGTTTCTTGCCAGCCATCATATGATGATACCGCGGCCCATCCTGACAACCCAATATTAAATCGGCATATTCCCTACCCAAGACACAGCGAAGAGCTCGCATCTCTTCGGCGTATCGGAATCTGTGTCCACGTGCCAAAGGATTCGGCGCCTTTTTCATGGTAGCAGCCCGCTCCTGCATCAAGTCTTCCCATATCTCTACATAATATTGGAAGTAGATGATCAATGCCCTTAAAAATCGGTCAACGATCGGCAAGTGGAAGAAGTGTATGAATTGAGGACTGACGGGTGTTATGAGCAAAAAGAGTACGAGATCTTTGATATCTTGCAAAATAATAACATCCGGTTCGTTTGGCGCCACTTTTCTCAGGTAATGCTTTCGAAATTTAATCTGTAAATGTATGATATTAATGAGTAAAAAATTCTTTCGATTTTAGTAAAGTACTTAACACACATCTTAGCCTGTGCTGCATCGCGTAATTTTCACCTTTTCACTATCATTTAACATTTCTCTATAGCTCAGAATTAAATACGCATGTGGACAATAAATCTCCGACGTATGATCGGCAGTAACTTGCTTCTTTCGTCTCTTAGTTTCATCTTCTGCTTTTGCCACTCTAATCAATCAATCAATCAATATGATATAAAAAGAATTAGAATTGACATGGACAAGAAAATCTTATAATCTTATAATTAATATCGATCTATAATAATACTTTGAAATTAATTAAATCAACAATTATAAGCACAGCAGATGAAAAAATGCAAAATTGAAGAATATGCACTAGACACTTATATACACATACAGAACACATCTACATTTACAAGTTGTGTTGGTTTGTTTCTTGTATTATAATTTAATATTGTGTAATATAATAAAATTAAATTATTTTACAAATAAATATTTTAACTTGAAAATTAAAGCAAAAGATAGCCTAATAGACTAACGGAAAAAATAATATCTTAAATATATTAAAATAAATTCTGTCATTTAAAGTGTTTTAAAAGAGTATCATTACCCCAATAAAATTAATCCTTCCGAAATTTCATCCCACGCAAAGTATCTTTCACCCATATTTAGATATCATATTATGAAAATATTTTGCAATTTTCTCTATAATTTTATCATAGATTTTCAGGTTATCAATTTCTAGACACTGACATGTTCTCCTTCTAATCTAGTGAAGATATAACAAAGTCGAATTATTGATTCTAGGAAGATATACATAGCTACATGCATACACAACCTACTTTAAACCATTATAATACTTGAAAATTAAAATGCTTAATTCTTTTAATTTCACATTATATATATATATATATATATATATATATATATATATATTTATATATTTTAATTAAATAATTTTCATCAAATTATATAAAAATAATTATTATAAACACACAAAATAATATCACATGTGTGATTCATCCAAAATTCAAGATATACCTAAATAAAGATTTTAGGAAAATATATTTATACATATTCAGTATTATTTATTTATATTATAATTTGTATTACAATATACAACAAATATTACTTTGTTTTGTCTTCTGTTTTATTTTCTGTTTTTTTAAACTGGCAAAGAGAATCTAAAATTGGTTTGTCTTCGGGAAATATTGGCTCGACTGGTAATTCCGAAAAATCTTCATCATATGTTTGTCCAGCTATATCAGTTGATAAATGATACAAAATACATCTCACCTTCACTTGCTCGCGATTATTAATCGTGAGAGTTATATAAAATTGCTTTTTATCTATATCCAGATTTGGTCCAGATATTGGTCTTTCAGGCATTGTTATAGTTTCTTCAGGCACATAAATATTGACTTGGCGGAAACTTGCTTTTATATGCCATTTTTCCAATGTCCATGGTATATCCTTTGACATTGTAATCGTTATTTGTTTGTTTGACAGATATTTCATTGTTCTTTCCACAGAAGCAGAACTAAATGGTGTCTTGTCCTGTTGATCCATTGCTAATTTTGCATATTTTTCAATATTTTCAGGAGTAGCGTAATCTGCTAATTTTGGCAATAAAAGTGTTGGATATGCCTTATTAGGATGCATTGATATCCTAGTGCCTGCATTACCAAGTCCTGCGACATATTGCGTGAGAATCAAATCAAGAAACTCCTTCCTTCTTACATTCGTATCTTCTACAAGATCATAAATAAAATGTTTAGGTTTCAAGGCATTTGGTCTGCCTTTTTTTTTATGAAAAGGAGCTGGATATCTTCTTTTAAGAATAAAAGTATTCTGTAAGAATATCATATAAATAGTATAAAAGCATAGATTTAATATAAACTATGTTCATACATGAATCTATTAAATCAATCTATTATCTATTATCTCAAAGTTTATAAAATATATATATACAGAGTATGAATAAATTGTATTATATATATTTATAATATTAAAACGAATTACCCGTGTTTGTTGTAATAAATAATCTGCTTTGCTCGGCAAAGTAGGCATTGCTAACGCTTTTACGTGATTCACGAATAATTTCGGAAACTTCAGCATATTTATTGCCTTCTACACTGTTCAGAATACTCTGAATAATAAGAAATTTCTTTCAATAATGTATAACAATAGATGAAATGATTAATTAGATAATTTCCTTTGACAAGAAAAAAATATACTAATTATTTTACACTTGTTATACTAATTATTTTACACTTGTTTTACATATTAGTATTACACTATATTGTCTAATAAATTTAGATTTTATATTTATGTTTTAAAGAATATTGAAATTAAAGTTTATTTTATAATTGTTCACTCAGTCATCTATTACAATAATCATCTATTACAATGATTACATCTTCAAAGCAACAAACATTGCGGTAACTTAATTGAGGTTATCTTTAAGAGTGCGTTCGTAGAGTATCCTATTCATAGAGTTAAATATTAAATTGACGAATCAGGAGGGTGTAAAAATTTTTTCATGATTGGTCAATCGAACGCTACTTTTCCTATAAGTAAGATTTCCGAACGTACCCTAACCAGATGTAAACATTGAATACTTCATATAAAGGTGCGGCCTCATTGACGCTAAAAAGTAGCGTCAACCATTGGTTGAACAAGGAGGTAAGTATAGTTGCTTCATTGTTCAACCAATGGTTGACGCTACTTTTTAGCGTCAATGAGGCCGCATCTTAATACTTGATTTGTTAAAATCACAAGGTTCAAAAAGCATCACGCGATTTAAAGATTCAAGACCGTAAGAAAAGTGATTAATTCTAATATTTGCATTACAAATATTTAATAATTATCTGTTAATTAAATATGGATGGTCATTCACTACCATCAGCAGAAATTTTGAAATGTGCTTTACCAAAACTCCAAAAACCTGTATTGTTTCGGAATATGCTGCGAAATTGCGATGGTATATATGAGTGGAATTTGCTCAAATGGAGTTTTTCAGATCTCGTTGAAAAATTCGGAGACAAACAATTATCGTTCCGAGTTGGTGACTATAATAAGTGTACGGTTAGTTATAATGTATTTATATTTATTCTTTTAATGATTTTATTATTATTATTTAATAGAAAATTTAAGTAATGACTTTATTCTATTTATTTCCATTAGTGTGCTCTTCAACATCATTGTCAACGCATAAACCCTCCTACAAAATCTTGTAAATTGACACTGCGAGAATTTTCTATAGCAACAGGTGATATGACAAAAGAAAGATATGATAAATGGCTTTACTGTGATTACAAGCATATGATGGAGTTTAATGATAAGCCAGAAATTATCGAGTCTCTCAATTGGCTCAAGTTTGGAGTAGATGAAGAATTTGGGAAAAATGGGTTGCACTCTACTATTTGGATCGGAAGCAAAGGTGCTCATACTGATTGTCATTGGGACACCTATGGTTACAATTTAGTGGCACAAATACATGGCAGGTTTGTTTGTAAATGTAGTTTGTTAAATTAATTTATAATTTATTTCTAAATGTATCCTGTTCTTTTCAGTTATTTATTTCAGTATTTTCTTTTTTTTTTAACTGAGCTATTTCTAGGAAACTATGGTTGCTTTATCCACCAAGTGCTTCTTTGATACCAATTAGAATTCCTTATGAGGAATCAACTGTGTACAGTAAATTTAATATTTATTGCATGAGTATGAAAGAGAGAGATCTTTTACTCAAAATCCCAGATAAACCAAAATTGGTAATCCTTGAACCTGGAGATGTTTTGTTTGTACCAAATGGCTGGTGGCATTATGTGGAATCTTTAGATAATATTAATGTGAGCGTTAACCTATGGGGAAAATTAAAAACAGATAATAGAGCACGAGTCGAGGAAGCTCTTGTTAAATTAATGGTAACTAAGATGAGAAATTACAAGCAATTTAAAAATAAGGTAATTATTAGTATAAAGTAATATTAAATAAGAAAAGAGTAATTGCATCTTTTAAGAGAATCATTGGTTAAATACAGAGTTTGTTAAACTAATTTATGATACTCTCTTTTTCTCTTAATAGATTGAATATGTTGTCAATGAATGCATAAAAGAAGAGGAACAAGAAAAAAATGAGAAGACAGAATTATCTTTAGAAGTACCTCTAAAAAAATTTAAACCTACCATATGGACTGCAGAAGATTTAGCTGAACAATATCCTGATTATATTAAAGTGTTACATGATGCAGAAGAACATGAATTTAAAAAATTCATTGAAGAAAGAATGAAAAGAAATAAACAATATCTGTTAAATGAAGAAACTGCATCTGAAGATCATGTATCTAATCCTCAATATGATCCATTTTTAGAATCTCTCATTAATGCCTTATGTCATCCAGATGTTATCAGTAAAGCAGCACAAATATTATTAGAAAAACATTATTGATATCTGTACATCTTTAAATTTTAATTTAAAAACATTATTGATATCTATACATCTTTAAATTTTAATTTAAAAATGTACATAAATTTGTATATATGTAGAAACAGGTAATCTTAAAAATATTCCTATCTGTAATAAAAAATTTTAAAGTTTTCTAATCTATGTTAATCAAATAGTTGAACACATAATCATGCTTCATATCTCTTTCTATAGTTTGTATTAAATATTTTAATTCATGTAACATATACACACACATTAGTGATTTAACAGAATTCCTTGCATATACCTTTACATCCCGTGCGCAATTATTACAATTTATTTATAGAGATTGAATGATTAAATTAATAAGAAAAAATAATATTAAGCAAGTTTTTAAAAATTGGTCTTTTAATATAAATAATTGTCTTTTTAGAAAAAGGAAAATAAAATGAAAAAAGAAAAATAATAGTTGAAAGTTTGAGAGAAATGCATGGAGGTTAGAAACGTCCAGAAACATCTGTCAAGTTTGAGAGTTCGATTCGCTAATATCAATGATCTGAATATTGTGAAATAATTAATTAAATATTATAATGGGCTTGTTAACCGTGTTGAAAAAGTTGAAGCAGAAGGAAAAGGAGATGCGAATTTTAATGTTGTACGTATTCGCATTTGTGTACCTATTTTATATATCCAGTTTGTGGTTAGCCTGTATGTTAACAGATTAAATAAACTTAAATTTAACTTAACTTTAGATATTTTTTTATTGGATAATTTAAAAGACAGCGAATTAATAAAATTAATATTACCAGTTAAATACACGTACTTAAATATACGTACTTTTAGTAATATAATTATATAATCAATTATTCTAATGCAGGCATTTATCATTTCAGGGGTTTGGACAATGCGGGAAAGACCACAGTGTTGAAAAGACTCAATGGCGAACCAATAGATACTATATCACCTACACTTGGCTTCAATATCAAGACTTTAGAACATCGTGGATACAAACTCAATGTATGGGATGTGGGTGGACAAAAATCATTGCGTTCATATTGGAGAAATTATTTTGAATCTACAGATGGACTTGTTTGGGTAATAGACAGTGCGGACAGAAGGAGATTGGATGATTGTAAAACAGAGTTATACAAGCTTTTGCAAGAAGAGAGATTAGAGGGAGCGAGTCTCCTTGTATTTGCAAATAAACAAGATATGCCTGGTGCATTATCTGCATCTGACATAGCAGAAATTTTAGAGTTACCTAATATAAAGACTCATCATTGGCAAATCTATAAGTGTTCTGCTGTGACAGGTGAAAATCTAGTCGATGGTATCAATTGGATCATAGATGACATTGCAGCAAGAATATTTTACATAGATTAAATTTACAACACATCGCAATTTATATTTCTTACCTCATTAAATGCAAAAATAATACTGAATTAATTTTTGCAGAATGGTATTTATATTATGTTGTGAAATTAATATGTAATGTAATATTACTAAGAAAGAAATTATAAAATCTTTTTTGTTATACAAAACGATATACATTCCTAGAATTTTTCTTGTACAATTTATAGCCACTCTATTTACAAAGTTAAAAATATAAATCAATGACAAAAAATATTTTTAATTTTTAAAGATTAATAATGTATAGATAAAAATTAAATTTTTAATATTACATTCTAAAGAATTTTTAATAGATAAAGGTAAACAAAATATTTGGTTCTTTTAATCTGGATTTCTTGATTTTTTTTTTTATATTTTTCTTGTATTTATTTTTTCGTTTTTAGTTTATTATATCTTCTGTCTCTTTTTTCATATTTTAAATTTTCTTTTTCTCTTTCTTCAATTTTAAGAATAACGCTGTTGTTTCCGGATATTCTTCCAAGTAAAATGATTTTAACAGTTTTAAATCGACAGTGTTTTTTGGTCCTTCAAATACATTCATAATCTCATTGATGAGCGATATTGAAAGCTTCAGTTTAAAATTCTTTATCAATTCTATAAATTTTTCTAGAAAAATAAATTTCTTTATAATTATTTTAAAAATTTACAAATTTATGAGAATCTAAGGGGAAAAAAAGAGAATTCGTAGAATATACCTCGCGAAATTGTTTTATCTTTCAATGACATCACAAAATGACCAAAATTACGTCGTTGTCTCTTTCGTTTCGGTCGCATCGCCTCATAATTCGCTCTTTTCAGAAGTATCCTTCTAACATTGGGTCCAACAAGTTGGTAATTGCTCAGAATACCGCCTAACTTGATGACGACCCATGGTTTATGCTTTTCAATTTCCTCTAACTCTTGAAGAACATCCTTATTCGCCCAAACATTCTCCAAGTCCAGAAGATATAAAATACTATCGGGTGATATATGCGGTGTGATTGCACGCACCAGAGCTAAAGCACCTTGTGCTCTTAAAGGATTGTTCCCCAGATGTAATTCCTGCAGCGTACTATTTTTCGATAGAGCTGCTGCGATAGGTACAGCATCTGTTTCGGTAAATCTATTCCCTATAAATTCAATATAGAAAAAAAAATATTTATCATTAGAGTTTATTTGCTGAATTGTGCTGTATATTTTAGACTTTTATATTTTGTACATTTATCTTTTACTTTATCACCTATATAAAAATTTATCTTTTACTTTATCATCTATATAAAAATGTAATAATATCTATTATATTACATATAGAAAGTGCTGACCTTTTTTAAATAAAGAAAGAGAGATTGTTCCTATAAGAATCTCTTTTATTTATTTATTTTTATTAACAAATAATGTATATATATTCTGTTTATAACAAGATATATATATTTACAGCTTAAATCCAGCTTCTCAATGCTTCGCGAACGTGATAATAATTTATACAGATGAGGCACGCATTCATTGTCAAGCGAGTTCCATGATAAATTCAGAGAATGTAATGTTTCATTTTTTTTTAGTCCATTAATAAGAGCTTTCCAAGTTCTAGCGCTATATAAAGAATTCCAGGACAAATTTAGTTGTGTCAAGATATCAGAGTGCGAGAGTAGATCTTGCAAACTTTCGGAACATGTTTCGTCCAGACGATTGTCAGACAGATTAACGCTCTCTAAGCCTTGGTTATCAGACAATGCGGACGCAATGTATTCGAAACCCTCATTTCCGATGTTGCAGCTGCTGAGATCGAGCGTTTTCAGGGTTGTATTTATCGATATCGCATCGCACAATCTGCTTACACCATTTGCACCGATTTGGCAGTCCGACAATAATAAACTGGTTATCACATTGTTTTTAAGTAGCAGATTGCTTAAATATTTGCATACATTTGGGGATAATTTGTTGCCCTGCGATAAAGCAATCATTAATTAAAAGAAAAAAAATGTTGTGTAAGTTAACACACATGTTTGTCTTATATTATCAAAAATTTAAGAATAATAGATTTTTGTTTTTCAAATATCTAGGATGTATGATAATTTGGAAATAATTTTCTTTAATCAGTCAGAGAATATCTTTGCAGGTTTTGTGATTTTATTAAAAAAGAAAAAAAGTTACTTAATCATTTGTAAATTTGCAGTACTTTAAGGTCCACTGTTCGCACGTAAGTATTGTCTGCCAAAGCCTCGCAGATCGCTTTTATCACGGGCGATTCCAGTCCGTAGTGTCGCAGATTAACTTGATCGCTCGTAAGCATGTTTCTTAATGAACCAATCGGTCGCAGACCTAAACGCTTCACTATGTCGTAGAATTTCTGCACACCATCCGCGCCGTAAATTGGCGGACGTTCGCGCAACAGCCAGAAAGCCGGTACCAATCCGGGATCGTTCGGTATCTGGTACACTGTGTAAGGATTCACTATTTTCAGCTGGGAATCGCTGATGTCTATCTCGCGTAGGCATGGATGTACCGAACTCTCGGTGGATACCCGATCGCTCACGATTACTTCATCTTCTGGAGTGATCGGCGTCTCCTCGGATGCGTCATCATCCGCTTTCTTTTTGACCTGCTCCGTTTATCGTATCAGTCGATCAGAGATTTATAAAAAAGAAAATCGATCTCGTTACTTATTTGTATTGTTATAGCTCTCTTAATTCTTGGAGAACTTTTAATATAATCATAAATTGCGGAAATCGATGTGTAAGAATATTTTGTACGTGTTCTATTAAGCTACTGTTACCAAGCTCAAGTTACACCGATCAAACGCCGCAGGTGTTTTTTCTTTTCTTCAGCTTGGGTCACTAATTCCCTCATCTTTCTCGCTTCGAATTCTGTTATATAACTCGTCATTACGTCGGTCTCATCGATGACTTCTGATTCTGTTTCGATGTCTTTCTTCTCTTCTTCCATGACGATGTCTTTCTCTTCCTTTTCGAAGTCATCGTATTCATCTTCATATTCATCTTCATATTCATATTCATCTTCGTATTCAGTCCACATATCCATCTCTCCATATCGTAAAGCTTCTGCAGCATCTTGAATGTCTTCTAATGTCTGAATAATGTGTTTACGTATTAATACAAGGTTATCTGTAATTATATCGCCAGTAATTAAAATATTTTGAGATTGTATAGCATTTTATTTTGAATATATTTTGAATATAAAATATACAAAAATATATTTAAAAATTTCTATGTTCTTATTCTTTCAGTTATTGAAGAAGAAAATGTACAAATTAGAAAATGTTGTAGAAACCAAATTATATATATTATCAAAATTATATGTATTATCAAAATACTTGTGTGAGATCCATATTTAGATTATTATTCTTATTTGAAATTAGTAACTTAACAAAGTTTTATATAAATATAAACATTATCATATTAAGACATAATGCTTTTGTAAATTGATAACAATTCGCTATGTGAAATTAGTTGCGAATTTACGTAATAGACAGAAATTATAAACAGGTATATTAAACATCATGTATTATATAATGTATTTTCTAACTTTCGAATTTATAATATACGTAAAATTTCGCGATTTTGTAATAATAATTGCGTGAAAAGAAAACTGTTCGTTTATCCGTTTATCTCTGAAAACAATATGTTATTAAAGAGAATGATTTAAATTATAAATATTTAACGAATTAATCGAACGAATGCATTCCAATTCATCTTTTCGTTTGGTATATATAAATATTTAATTCACTATTCGACTGATTGCGTTCCGACTCGTCGCCGTGCGCTTCTAATACACTTAAGTGTGAGTCCAAGAAGCATATTTCGGATATTCACTGTAAGTCAGCCGCTCCTCGGGCGATCGGGACGAGATTTAAAAGATAGTGCCGCGAAATGATGTAGAATTTTATGCAAAAAGAATGAAATCGCTATCGCGTCCGGAAGTCGAGATATAAATTGGCTGTTTTTCGTCTGCGCGCGGACGGTCGAAATCGTACACGACGCCGCGCATGTTGCCTGCCTCTCTCGCGCGATATTCACTGTAACGCGGCGAGTAAAATGGCAAGCCGAATGTAATCGTTCGATTAATTGATTAAATACTTATATATACCGAACGAAAAGATGAATCGGAATGCATTCGTTCGATTAATGCGTTAAATATTTATATATATAAATTTAAAAGCGTTGTATATTCTCACAAAGAGCGCTTTTAAAGAGTTCTGCATAAGAGTTTTTTTCAACAAATTAGGAGAGACAAAATATCAAAATTATACAAAATATTGAAATAATCCGATCAATTATGTAAATCTTTCAATACGAATGTCTTTACATGATATTAATCGAGTCTTGAGAAAAGATTTTCTTTTCTAAGTTTATTCTTTGTTCAGAAATAATAATTTTATCGGGAATTTTCATTCTGTAAGAGAAACTATAATATATTATTATATTATTGTTTCTTCGATAATGAAATATTTAATTAAATAAAAATGCATAATATTTAGCATTTGATAAAAGATTCGATAATAATTCTTCACAAGAATTAAAATTGTTAATCGATTGTTGATGAAACCAAGTCGGAAAAGTTTCCGTGGTATTTGACAAATATTCGCCATTCGCATTTTTTATGATAAAGTGATAAAAGAACTACGAGATATTTTTTTTTTATTTCCTCGCGGTTCATTCGTCGCGAATATTTCATCAATAAGAGAAAAAGTTCATATAATCTTCTTATGAGAATATTGATCGGTGGCTAGGCGCTTATCGTGTTTCACACGAGCCGCAATCGTTCATCGCGGGTTGCGTGATTCATTCACCGGGTATTCGTTAAGTGGCTCTTCTGGACCATTGTATTGTAATTTCGGCAGATCGTTCGTTCACAAGCGGCGAGCGGTACACGAAGGGGATCCATCTCGTCTCATCATCGCATCGACAACAACGCGAGATATGGCCCGTCGAGTTTGCTTTGTTAATCTCAGCCTCAGCCGTGCTTTTGATTGTAATGACATCGGCATTATCCCTAATGAAACAATCGCGGGCCATTAAAATCGGCGCCGTTGATAAGATTCATCGCGCTGAGTCCGTATCTCTATCAGCGCGAAGAGAAAGAGAAACAAATATGTCTTTATCATTTCTTGATTGGCCACAGTGACGACCCTTATTCTAATTTGCTCATTGTAATTTTTTTTTCTTTATTTAAAAATTTTATTTAAAATATAAGAAAATAAATGATTTGGGACAGGACTTATATACATTTACTAAAATCTTGTAAAAAGATTTTGTGAGAATTCTTTGATCTTTCAGATATTCTTATTCAAAATTTCGGATAAAACAAATAATTTTTTGGTGCGATTTTTTTTCTAAAATAAGTTTTCATATGTGTTTTCTCATGCTCTTTTCTCACACGAAGGAAAAATATAGAGCGACTTAAGTTCCAGATGCTAAATCTTTAAATGTATTGAAAACCTTTTGTAAGATAAACATTTAAATATTTTACTTGCATAACACTTTCATTTTTCTATAAAAATTACGATAAAAATCTATATTGCATATATAATATTTTGTTAAAATATTAAATATAATATATAAATAAAGATATATATAGTATATTTTAAACACATTTTTTGATAGATTTTTGAAGATATAAATCAAGAAATATACGTATATTAATGTACAATAAAAGCTCTTTAATTCTGGTTTAACTTTGGTTGTACGTGCATGTACATATGACCTTCTCGTCAATCTCTGGTTTTTTCTTCTAGAAAAAAGACTGCGGTAAAACAGCGCATTTTTTACGATTTAAATGTGAGAAAAATGTAAAAATAAATTGTACTAGACACCATATCGAAGGATTGTACTTTTTATTGAAGTCTTTCACATCGCCACATAAATCTATGCGAAGGAGAAGAACGGGGGAGGAAAAGATAATAAAAAGATGTTTATGTACATGCATTCGTTTGCACATTTCTCGATGTCAGACACGAATAATCACAACGTGTGAATGTCCTTTATATCGTCGATTAGATCAGAAGCATTAGTTCGATAGATACGGTTTTTTTAAGTTTTTTTGTCATTACTTCGCTTTGAATGAAGTGATATGAGAATTGTCGTATAAAAGTGATCAACTATTGCTTATGATCTGTAGAAATTTTATTAATACGAGACAATATAAAATAAAAATAATATAATATAATATAAAATAATATATATAATATATATATTTATATTTATATATTTATATATATATTCGCCGTCTCTCGCATCTATGTATTCGTACAATAATATACTTTTCTCCATAAAATAAATCTATGATAAAACTTTGTTCCTTCCTGCTGTAAATCTACGTACGTCTAGAACGAGAGCCCTATGCTTCTTCGTTTAAACTAACTTATTACAGACGTTTCGCTGGGGGAAGAGAAATGTTATAGTATAAAAAAAGAAAAAAAACAAATTGCACATCTAAGGATGGGGGGGAGAGGGGTTGACAATGACTGGGGAAGAGAATGATTTGAACATATATACTTAAATTTATTTACGTACATCGTTCCACGATGCAATAGCGTCACTATATACACATTCATCTTCACTGCGTCCGAATATTCTTTCTCTCTAAAAACATTGTATTATTTACGCCATTAATATGATCTTTACAAGTTAATGTATCCGCGATTTAGTGTACAAAGTAGAGCACATCTTTTTCGCAGTGGCAGTGTCTCTGTTAAAGTAAACGAACACGCGCAATACCACAGTAATCCTAGACAATGACATTGTTTCTTCTATGAGTATCACAATAATATCGTCTGAAGGAACGTTTGAAGCACACGTTACATCATACAAAGCAAACTTTCGCAGACAACGATCTCGAGTAATATCTGTGCAACGTTAATACTTGTGAATATATCTAAAGAAATTCTGCCGCATTCTCGCTAAATTTATTTACACATTATTTAATCATTTATATGTCTTTCTTGAATAGAGCGCAAGTTTACTTTGACGATTATACATGATAAACGCACATCTTGTGCAAGTGCCACCCAAGTGTTTTCTTAAATGATTAAAATAAAAAATGCGATGAAGGGCGGTAAGCAATACTATCAAAAGAGTACAAAATCGAGCATATAAAACGTATAAAATCAAGGCGCGTATAAAAATTATCGAGAAAAAAGAGAAGAAAAGATTGGATGCTTAGCGAAATTAATAAGTACGAGTTATGTACATATGTACACCAATAACAACTGATCATTATCATTAAAATTATTTATAATTGTCAATCGCATATTATCATCACGCAGAAACGTGAAAGGAACAAATGAGAAAAAAAGAGAGAAATAATTTTCAAACATTTTCAATTCGAGATATATCATGAATTGTGCTATTTTTGTAATATATTTGAAAAATTATCTAAAAGTTAAACATTAAGCTTATTTTATGAATGAATTGATTGGCAAAAGATATCAGTTAAAGATACTATTAACAATTTATGCGTTATCTCGTAATATACATTTTACAATAAATAAGGTTCCGATAAGAATCATGCATCATTTCTTTCTCTTTTCCTTGCATTTGTCCCCAATATGTTCTAAATGTTGGCTCAACTTAACAAAGAAAAAGAGCCATTTTAAGTTATTCAGAAGTTGAAAATCATATTTCCCAGTATCACAAGAATAAAATTGTCCAAACTCTTACATAGGCCATTTCAATATCTTCTATTTTCTATTTTCGCTTGATGATTTTCTCCGAGCTTATCGATGTTTCGTATTTATCGATGTTGCTTCAAGAAACTCATCAACATTTGTTTTCCACTGTTTACTTTCACAATATTTAATCATACATGTACTGTTAGAACTTGATGCGGCCCCGATGTTTGACTGGTACCCGGCTGCTGATGAGGATACGATGGTTCTTGTAATCTAGGCTTGCTATAGGGCTTATGCGGTCCCTCTTCGTAGCTAAAACTGGCCGTATTGTTCCTAGCTTCCGCGCTAGGCGGTTTGTAGAGTGGCGGCAAGCGATGTCTACCTTCCTCAGATACCATTTCGAGACTCTCCTCGGCACCAGTCAAGGTGCCGAGCGAAGCGCCCGATAGAGGTCTCACGACAGATACTCTGGGCTCGGGATCTTGATCCTTGAGTGGATTTGCATATCTTCTTAGATTCTCCTCATTCTGAAGATTGTTAGACTTCTCATCCAGATCGCTACGATGGCGATGTAGCGAGGTCTCGCTACTGGTCGTTGCCGTCAAGTTCGACCTATGTCTCATGGTTCTAAGATACCAGAGGCCGCCGAACAGTACCAACAGTAGCACGGTTGTTAGAGCACCGCCTAAAACAGCTACATAGCCGCCGGTATTGGCTGCACCAACCGAACTAGGCTCGCTGAGCAGCGTCGTCTCCACTTTGACTTCTAACACTGAAGCTAAAACGGGAGATCTCGCCAGCGGACGACTCAGTGCCTCGCCGAGATCCCGTGCAGCATTAGCCGCCGCCTCGGAGAAGATGGTTACTTCTATTGTATCGTTATCACCTGGTTTCAAATCGCATAGCAGAACCACTAACTGAGGTCTTCGCGGATCGGTCAGAAGTTTCCTTAAACGACGGCATAGCAATTCCACTGATGTTCCAGGCACCAGCATATCCCTCCGCAGCAGTATCATGAGCCGCGAACAAGTCGGTCCAAGTGTGGATTGTCCGGGCCAGCAGGATGGTGGAGCCGGCAGCGCCGGTGGTCCGACTCGTCTCCCGGTTTCAACGGGACGACATTCGCCCCATGCCGGACATGGTGGCGCTAAGCAGCTCTCGCCCGGACTAGGAACACAGACTTCATGGGCCAGACAAGAGGTACCATTCAGACAGTTACCCGGTCCGCACCAGACGTTGCTGCATTGATTCTTGCCATTCCGGCATTCGCATACGTTGCAGTCGTCGTCCCACGTGGCGGCCGTGCAACCGGGTCCACCAGCCGTACGGATCTCGCATCGCGTACCGGTTCTACCGGGCGGACAAGTGCACGAATAACTCGCAATACCATCCACGCAAGTAGCTCCGCCTGTGCACGGATTGCTCGCGCATTCGTTGACATTGATACGGCAGTCCGGGCCAGTGAAACCGGGCGCACATTCGCATCTAAACCAATTGACACCGTCTACGCATTTACCACCATTCAGACAAGGAAACGGTTGACAATCGTCTACGTTGCGTCGACAGTTCGGTCCCTCGAAACCGTCGCGGCAGACGCAGCGGTAATTGCCATCGACCGTGTTTACACAAGTACCGCCATTCGCGCAGGGATCGCTCGCGCACGCTGACGGCGACGCGATGTGACAGGCTGCGCCTTCCCAACCGTGAGGACAGTGACACGTGAAGCCATCGCCATGATCCTGGCAGGTACCACCGTTCCGGCAAGTGCCTGGCTCACAATGACCACCACGCAGCGTGCATGTTTTGCCCTGCCAGCCACCCCGACAGATACATGTGAAATCTGCCACGCCGTCTACGCAGGTACCGTTATTGCGGCAGGGTTGTTCCTTGCATTCATCCACATCTGGAAAAATATAAATTCCATTAAGGTCATTCAAATTTATCGGATTCTATCAGTATTTTTTATTCTATCTATTTCTCTCATCATATATTTCTTATTACTTACTCTGATCGCAAAGGTCCCCGCTCCAACCCTCTCGACAGGCGCACTGGAAGGAATTAAGCATATCGACGCACGTGCCGCCATTCAGACAGGGATTGTCACGACAGTCGTTAATGTTCTCGTGGCAGTGCATACCAGTATAACCGGGATCGCAGATGCATCTATCGCCGCTGCATCGGCCTTTTCCGCCACATGGGGTGCCCTCGCTACCACAGCCGTACTGTTCGTCGTCTGTCACGCTGAACTGCTGCGAGTTACGCGAGACCGGATCCGAACAGTTCTTGCCCTGCCATTGTACCGGGCAATGGCAATAATAGTCGGTCTGCGTGTTGAAGCACGGCGCCGAGTTGCGGCACGGATTCGGACTGCAATGATCGCGATCGATCTCGCACTGGTAGCCGGTGAAGCCCACGGGGCATACGCACTCGTAAGCGTTCACCAGATCTCGGCATTCTCCGCCGTTCTGGCATGGCTTGGACGCGCATTCGTCGATGTCGACGTCGCAATCCTTGCCAGAGTAGCCGGCGGTGCAGCTGCAATGATAGTCGTCCACCAGATCAATGCAGAGCGCGCCGTGTTGACACTGACCAATGCAGTCATTGATGTTCTTCGTGCAATTCTTACCAGTGAAGCCACTCCGGCATCGGCAACTGTTGACAAAAACGAAATTATTATAAAATTTGCTTAATCACTATTTTGAATGAACAGGTTTTTAAATCGAGTTTAACATGATCAGTTATGATGCAATTTTTTTCCGCGTTCACGTTATTTTACAAGAGTAATAAAACGAGTAATTATAGGGCATCGAACAATAAAAATTCTTTATTATTATTACTGTTTAACCTTTCATACACAGGACGCGGAGGAAAATGCTTTATAACGACTTAATTTTCAATGACTATATCGTCCGTGGGAAACCTATCATTTATACGTAACACACTGTAATTGAAAAAAAATAGAAAGACCGGACAAGAAACTCCTCCAGTTTACGATAACCGCATGTTCTCAACGCTGTTGATACATGGTACTTATGTCTGTTAATAATATAAGCAACCTTAAATTATATGCTTATAATAATGTTTATAATAAGTAAGCACTAAGAAACATAAAATTCTTGACTTTTTTCTCTTCAACAAGACAAAATATTAATTAATTATTTTGTATTCTGATAAACGTAACTTCTTTTCAAATAATTTAATATATACAAAATGTACAATTTTGTATATACAATAAAGGAAAGTTAAGAATCTCTATATAGAAAAATGTTGCATGAATCCTCGGATATTAATAACAAGCTCACCTGTAATCGCCAGACAGATTGATGCAGGTGAGCGAGTTCTTGCAGGGCGATTCCTTGAGCGCGCACTCGTCCACGTCGAACTGACAGAGGACGCCCTGCCAGGCGGACGGACAATTACACACGAAGCTATTCTTGCCGTCCACGCAGGTGCCACCGTTCTGACACGGCTGCGAGGCGCACTCGTCGATGTCGGTCATACAGTAAGTCCCGGCGAAACCCGGAGTGCACTCGCAGCGCGCGGTTTCGCCAAGCTCGTGACATTTCGCTCCGTTCAGACAGGGGTTGGAAGCGCAAGGATTGTCGACCTTCTCGCAAGTGGGCCCGGAGAAACCATCCGGGCACCTGCAATGGTACTGATCAGGCGCGGTATTCTCGCACGTGCCGCCGTTCTGGCACGGCTCGTGGGTGCCGCAGTAGTTGAGATCCTGGTCGCACAGTATGCCGCCCCAGTTGGTGTCGCAGATGCATTGCCAGCTCGAGCCATTGCAATAGCCGTGCTTGCAGCCGGGATACGTCAAGCACTGATCGCACAGCTCGCCGTGCCAGCCGGCTCGACACTGACACTCGCCGCTGAAGTTGCAGTGACCGTGCACGGGATGGCACCCTTCCTTGCAGACGGCTAGAAATATTTTTGTAAATTATACATATTGTCGCGCATTTAATTCAGAGTTTTGATAAGCTATTTTTCATTATAATTATAATGTTGATTACGTATATTATAAATTATTAATGCCTATTAGAATAATCCCTGACGCAGTTTTCTTATTATATTAATTTATCTTTTATGTAGACAAGATTTATGATGTAACTGTATTGCGAAAATTAATATCACTTTGTATTATTATGTGCTAGAGAGATTTGACATTTGGGTAAATTATGTTTTCACGAGTTTATGCAAATGGACATCGTTATTAAGAGAGCGATTTAAAAAGAATCTTTTCGAGAAACATATCTATGATGACGTGGATAGATTAAGCTTTCTTTCTTTTTCTTAATCTATCTTATTATTAGTCGTCTTACTTCTGCGTGGCATGCGACACGTAATAGTCATTGAGTCAGGCAAACGTAATTAGCGGAGACGTAATGAACGAAACGAGCGGGACGAACGCGGAAGAACGTGATACTTTCTGCGGATTCTGTAAGGGATTACGCGCGTCTCCTCAATACGACATATAACACACATTGAAAGAGCTGAAGCAACAGGTACCTTACAGGTGGTTGGATGACAAAATCTAATTTCGGCGTAGCTAAAGTACACCGTGACCTTTGGAAACAAACACTTTGGAGTACGAAGACCGCAATGACGATGACGACGTCGGTTTCCCTTCCATCCCCTTTCTCCGGGATGATGAAGAAAAAAAAAAAGGAAAGAACTGCGGAGGAAAGGATGAACGCGACGGAGATCTCGCCGGCACCGAGCAACTCAATTAGCCGGTGGGACAGAAAGACAGATGAGAAGTGACAGAGAGAAGGATTATCCCTCCAACCGTGAAACGAAAACTCATGCCGCGCGCTCGCATATACGTGGATCCTCCTTTCGGGGCTTCAGTCGGTCTCTCGTACGTGTACCAACACCTTTACCGTTACGTATACGCGATTATTGTACATACGCGTATAATCACACGGCGGTCCATTCGCGTCTTACCATGTATATGCGTATATACCGCCCATGGCATCCTTAATGATTAATAGCCCTGCTCTCTCTCTCTCTCTCTCTCTTCCTCTCTATTCCTTTCCCCCCTGTTCCCTCTCTCTCACTTTTTCGGTTCCACGTCGCGACAACGGACATTTACGGATATTTATACGATTGCATCGGCGACTACTTCGAGATCTCCTAAATGACGTCGCATTCGCTCATGACAGCCTTTTCTTTGCCACGATATGTGTTGTTGGATACGCGGACGTCATCGTCCTTCGTCGAGCCAATCAAGCGAATATTTTTGCAATCTTCAAGAGATTCTCTTTCTCTCTCTCTCTCTCTCTTTCTCCCTTTCTTTCTTTCGCAGTCTTTTCGCATTTTAGAAACTATAAATTTTCCTAGAGTTTCAACGATCACGCTGCTACTCACATGCCCACGACTGTTGATTAATACACCGGCAGTTAGGTAAATTAACTTGCGCGGATCGGCTTTTTTCCGTGTCGCGCACCTTTTTGCCGCGCGAAACAGCTGTGCGAAGAGAGGCGGATAGGTGGTTTGCAATTTTTCGCGCGCGATTCCCAAGAGTCTCCGGCTCCTTGCGCTCCTTGATTATGACAGAGTTGCCTCATTCGCGAGTTACACGCGGAAGTGTTTTCCCGGAAAATTTACATCCCTCTTCCGCCTCTGTGCATTTGCGTGCGTCGCGCGGAAAACCTTTATTATTTGTCCGTTGGCAATTCGCGCCTTGAGCCCGCGAGGTTGCGATGCGAACCTCTCTCTTTCTCGGAATGTAATTATATTTTTTATTACGCGCAAAACTCATCATGTGGCGGGGTATAATGTAGACAAACACGTTATTAATTTTATGCAGCTTTTTTGCAGAACACTCACTAGAGTCTATTTATTCTTATAAGTAGTTGGAGGTCTAAGAGAGAAAGCAAAAGTCATAGAATTGTTAATACATGAATTATTTATGTCATTAATGATTGTTTAAATAGCGATCGTTAAAATCTGCACAATTTATTTTCCCTAACCTTTCTAACTGAATTTGATCACCTGTCGCAACTTTTCAATGTTACTTTGATTTTCTTAGAAGAATAATTCTAGGACATTATTATATACAAAAGAGAGAGAGCAAAAGATTGACTTTAATATATAATAACGATAACAAGTAATTGTATGCATATTATTTTTAATTCTCCAATTCGATCTGAATATTAATTGTCACTACACATAATGACGTGTTATATTTTTATAAAATTATATGTATAAAGAAGTTCACATATTTCGTATATGCCGAACGTTCATTGAACTTTCACGATCCTTTTTGCCAGATGTTAAAGGAGCACCATCCACGTATGCGCTTAGCACACGTAGAGATTTTACCTCTCTCGCGCGCAACCACGTTGGTGCATCGTGTGAAGAGGATGCACGAGTGAAATTCTCCTATTGACCTTTCACAGCGCGACAAAAATGTCGGAGCCAGTTCTCTCTCTTTCTCTCTCTCTTCTCTAACCGAGACTCGCGCGCGCGATTCATCGCCTTGCACGAACACGCGATCTCCGCCGATAGTCTCTCTAATTGGGATTTGCGCATTTTTTCCGTCCGTCTAAGTAGAACGTGCTCAAAACTCGACAAGTCGATCTTCCTGCATCGTTAAGCGAGGGAAACTTTTTTACATTTCGCGTCCTGTGTCAAGAAGATTCAATCTTCCAGCGGGATCAGAAGAGTTTGAACTGTGGAAACGAAAGTCGGTCCCAATGTAAGCAATCATCACTTGAATCTATATATACAGCAAAAAAAAATAAATTATCAATCAGCGGCTCGAGGTGATCGCTATGTTGGTTATCAAACAGTGAAATCTTAAAGTTCACAGTGCCAAGGAAAACGAGCAGCGTCGACAAAGTAATCGCGCGTATGTTATTTGAATTCCTGTAGCATAATATCACGAACGTGCCGACTTGCGAAACGATTGTTTGAGCAAATTATTATTGAGCGCAACGAGACAACGGGGCTTTAATTTTTTTTCGCAGGTCTATTTAATATAGGGAAATTCTATAATATAATAATTCTAAATATATAATATAATAATTCTAAAATTTATTTAATAATAAAGTAATAATACGGCTTCAGAGAAATATTAATTTATATTCCTTCTTGATATATAATATTCCGATACTAAATATAAATTCAAAATTTTGAAAATTTTCATATCTATTCTATCTAAAAAGGAAATATTAAACTATATACGAATCAAGTATATATTTTTATTCGTATCTCGATTTCTGCTACAGCGTTGGATATTGTCCAGAATTGAAATTTTGGAGGTGAATCATCTGATCTAAGGATCAATAGAGGAAAAGGCATTTCACGCATCTCTGACGGCAAGAATTGTATAAACGCGATCGGAGCCTCCTCAATAAGTAGTCGGTCCGTTTGAGATCGATCTTATACATGCGTTGTGTCCTATCGTAAAGAGGAAGGGATGACAGTAACCACGGAGCGGTCACGGCAAGGCGGAAGTAACGATTAAGCAGCGAAGAAAGAGCTGTTATATTGGTCGGCGCAGCATTGTGCGATGGGACCTGGCGTGATATGTCGCTACCTTTGTGACGATCGTACGACATGCGTCTAACGTCCGCCCATTGAGGCACGCACCGAGATAATTCGCGTGCTTTACGATCCATACGGGACCGCGTACGGCTCAGTCGTTCATCTCCTCTCGCGTTAATTGCGGACGTGACGGAATCGTTCGATCTTTCGGAAACTGGACATCAATCCGACAAGAGATTCCGAAACCGCGTGAACGTGAAGAGCAATTTCGTCTTGGATCAAGAAGAAATAAAAATCAATATTTTATTGAAGCTGCATTATTACTAAATAAATTTTGGAATTAAACAACTGCGAGAGAAAGGTTGAAGTCTCTTTGCGTTTCTCGTTCAAATAATAAATTGCTTAAACAAAATTATTTTGCAAATCGACACGCTCCATCTGTATATAAATCTCCTTTGCTTTAAATAAAAAACTGATACTACGATATCAAGATGGCAAAATGTCCAATTTATTTGACATTTGTAAATAAATTGTCAATAGACTTTGCTTATTTGGACTTCATTCATTTACAGATTTCTCAAACACAGATATAAGAAAGATCTTTTTGGCAAAAATTGAATCTTTTCGCCTTTGAAAAATTATTCGACGACAAACGACAATGATTATTAATAGCCAGTGTATCGAATTGCAATTGCCTCGTTAGGAGATACACGCGCAGGTGTCCGTGAGAAATAAACGACATCCATGGAGGATGTACACAGTTAGCCCTACACAGCCCTGTCGCGAGATTTCACGCTCCAATGAATGATTAATTATTCTTCCGACGACGGTAAAGGATGAGGCAAAAAATCGACTTATGTCGTTCCGCTATTGATATCTTCCGAGTTCTTGTAAAGAGGTACGAGATAATAATGATGTAAGAGCATACGATTCGCGAATATAGTGCGCATTTTGCATGATAAATTTCGCATCTATTCCGAAAAAAATTTCTTAAATAAGGAAACTCCATGGATAAGAGAGTTTGTTAAAAATTAAAATTCTTTTTCATTTTTCTCAAAACGTACGTCCTCTACTCGTCGTCAATAAACGTTCTATCATTTGTTCAGATACGGTGCATTGAATTTAAAATTAGATGTTGAATGAGAAGCTTATGTAATATCTTGATAAAAATAATTTATCGGCAAATCATTTTCCGTGAAAAGACACAGAAGAGAATCAAGGAATGTGTATTTGTGTAGATATTTTTTGCGTGCATATTACATAGTGTCTAATGTAATTAATAACTGCGCACGGTAATACCTGGTTATGCGTGTGGTAATGCGATAAACACGGGATTAATCAGCAATAAATCATTCTAAAGTCGATGCACATCTAAAGTGCTAATACTGAAATATGTTACGGAACTTCCTTTTTCTTGCAACGTAATTCTATATGAATTAAAAAAGGAAAATTACCGTTGGTCGAAGATGATAAAAAAATCATTTACATTTAAATTTATCTGGATGCTACTAATTAGATAAGAATTATATAAAGAGAGGAAACATTTTTGAACTTGGCAATTAGTCTAAACATGGAATCTCTAAAAATGTCAAGTATATTCTAATAGAGCGATATGGTTGCAGCAACAATCGAAGTAATTGTCGATCAAACTCAAACTCACCTGTCTCGCAATCAACGCCTTTCCATCCCTGTATACACACTTTGTCCCCGTTCTCGTCGCAGGTGTAATGGCCGAAAATGTCATTTCTAGGTCGGCAGAACTTGGTGCAGGTTGCATTGTAATAATGATCGGCGCACTGGACTCGTATCCGATACGCCACGTGAGCGTTTCTCCCTTGATGATTGAGAGTATGCCATGTGGATCCTGGCAGGACGATGCCGCTGTAACTCGCTTCCTCGATTACACCGGCGCTCGTTTCGTCCCTCGCTTGTAAAATCAACGTGAATTGCCTCTGCAACAGAATATTTTTCAAATCATTTTTAAAGGCTACAACGTATAAAAAAATGTTATTAAAAATTGCTTCGATATTAATCACAAAAACATAACTTTTAATCATAAAAATTAATTATTAATAAATTCATATTAAATAAAAAAATTGATCTGTGTGTAAAAGGAATTATATATATATATATATATATATATATATATATATAAACTTAGTTTTTTTTATATATGTAATTCTATTTAAATGGCTTTTTATTAATTTAAATCGTGGAAATAATTATTTTGTTAACTTGTGGAATAATAATTTGAATAAATCTTTGTAAGAAAGAAAACATGCACACATATCGCAATTAAGATTATCTCTTTTCGGAAGATGCATCCGGATTCCTGTCTTCAGTCCAGCCATAATGCAACAAAGTCGGATTAAATACAGAACGGTGATGTCACAGGCGACAAGGGCTCATTTGAAAGAGGAAGGGAGGTGGTTTGATGAAGGCAGCAATTAACCCTTGCCCAGCTTGAATAATTCCTCGCTGGGCTCTAAGTGGAACCTTCGGAGCCTGGTGCTTTTGCAAATTTATACAGCGTCTGCTGACCTTTGGGGGCGGTTTAAATTATACGATAGTGTAGGGTTACCAATTTCAGGACTTTGGCTTATGTAACCGAGAATTACACGAAAGCGCATCCGTCGTGCAAAACTATGCGATAGAAAACAACTTCCGGTGTAGCTAGAAACGAGCTATAGCGCGCATTAATTCCAATAAAATAAATAAAGTACTAATAATACAAGATATAAATGATGCTGAAACACATCATTTTTACTTCATCTAGTGTGCAGAGCGCGCTTTTTTAATATAAATTATTGTTTGTTTCTCTTAGATATCATACATGATAATTTATACACATGTGATTCTCTCATGAATGTTTAGGCGAGTAAATTCCACGAGACATGTAACATCGACAACATATCGTATAAGTCGGATTTGAATATGATTGCAAGTCACGATTGTAATGATTACCGATACATTCGTAACATTCTGTGGGACCGCAGAGAATCGCCACTAATCGGGATAATTACAACGGTTACCGCGAGTATTGACACAACGATTTCGTCCTTTATATACGGTCGGCTTATCTTCGCCATCGCGTTGCGTCGTTCGCAAAGGGGAACCCGATTGGTACCACCAATCAAGGGCCGTGAGTGAGCGACGGCCGGCTAATGCAATAAATAAATTCGAATCGCGCGGAAGACGCGGCCTGTCCGCTGCTTCTTCGCGTTGCCTCAGCACGCCTGGCACCCGACGGGGTTACACGGGAGTCGAGCCGCCGATGCGATGGTAGAAAGCTGGAAGTGTTCCTCTGATGGAACCGGTCCCGGCGAAAAAAAGATTAGCGCGCGGCATCGGCTCTCGCGAGCGCGCCTGCGGTATAATGAACTTGACGATCCTCGGAATTAGACAATGAACGCGGATTCTGAGTGAAAGAAAGAAACAAAGAAAGAGGGAGAGAGAGAAAAGAGGGGGCGAGGGGCATTTGTGGAATAATATCGCATGTCGTGGAAATTAAAAGAGAAATTATTAATAATTAATATTTGTATAAAAAATAAATTATTTTATATCCACATATATTAAAAGAATTATATCGTTATAAGTCACGGTCTGTCCCAAAAATATCCGAAGCATTGTTCTACAATGACGACACAATCGATGATTATAATTTTGTACACTTTAATCGCGCTACGTTGCTTTTTTCATTTGCTGTGACAAGAAAAGTGCGAGTATGTTTTCAACATTTGAAAAAATAATAATGGAGTAAAAAGCGAACATTAAATTTTAATGTTGAATTAAGAAAATCATTTTCGAAAACGCTCGAAATGATTAAATGTGAAATCCTAACAAAGCGTCAGAGCTCAATTTAAAGGAAAGAAGAGCTACATCGAACAAAATTCGTGCAAGAATCAAAAATTAAAACAATATTTTTTATGAATAAATTAAAACATTATTTTTTTTGATTCACAAACGATTTAATACATTTTTAATATTTCTTATTCCTGAAATTAAATTAAATTGAAGTTAAAAGGACAATGTTTTATACGATTTCTGAAATTCAAAAGGCCTCAAAACAGTTTCCATTGTTACAAAAGAAGAATATCAGAGATATTTTCAAAAGTTTTATAATCAATTAAAGAATGTATTTCTTCAAATGATATGTATTTCGAATAAATACACATCATTTCTGCAAATAACATTAGTTACAGTGTCCGTAAAACAACAGCTTGGATATTTTTAAGACTGTGTATATAAGTAATAGAACATATTTTCTTTTTTATATAAATATAGATAATCTTTTAATTAAAACGAAATGAAAAAGATTGTATTTCCAATTAAATGGATTTTGGATAATATAGATCGTAGAGTTTGACAAGATAATCCGTTACCTAACGAAAGATATCTGTTTCTTGCGCAAGTGTCGATTTGACATGTGAGTTACTTCTTGCCGACTAAGGCCTTTCCCGCTTTTGGCATCGTGTTTCTCGCTTAACTGTACACTCGTGACTTAACTACTAACTCGCGAACTTAGTGAATCAATTTCCCTCGCCGTGATCCGATATTTATGCATCGCATCTATCGATTCGCTCGAGACAGTTTCTCTTATTAAAAAATTTGCAAAAGCTGGCTTCTCTCTGCGTTGGAGAGAAGTCGATGATCAGAAGCCAATTTTCGATATGGCGTGTCTGTCTCGCTTTGACATTTGAAGTCGTGTACTCGATATGATGTAGTCTATGCAGTACAAAGAGCATGTTGTAGCCAATCCGGCGAGTCAGACGTCTCTCGCTAAACGTAAAGACAGCGAGCTCCAGCTCGCTGGCAGTACCTAGAGCAGATGAGCGCTAATTGGTGTTAATTGGTGGCTCGCTCGAGGGCCGGCTTTCTCACGCCCGCGACTTTCGTGCTCGCCTTTTTTTTACACCTCGTATATATATTCTAATGCGGCCGGTCTTGGCCGGTCGTCGCGCTCGCCTCCCCGTGAAAAGAACGTTCCTTGTGCTTCAACAATCGTGACGCTTCCTTTGTCACGCCGCTCTTATTTCACCGCGACGAGTTCGTTACAATTGAGACGTAAATGGTTTAAGGTTAAGGTCGGAGGAAGTGTCCAATATCGTGTTAGAGTTTTCGATTCTCGCAGACTCGAGAAGTCTCCAACGCGTCCGATCATTGTATAAAGCTTATATAACGATCATGCATATAAAACTTATTGATTCGTGCCGCAAATTATTACGTATAATGTACCGAGAAAAATTAACAAGCACGATTAAAAATATATAAGTTGATTATTTAAATTTTGACTTAAATTTTAGATGCATTTTAAATTTCATTTCAGGAAACAATTCTCCTTTTTTATAAAAGCTTGTTCAGTCTAATTAAATTTCCACCATACTTAGAAATTATCGCAACCCTGAAACAAAGAACACACTTAAGTGCAGTCTTGATGCGCCAAGAATCATCGAAGACGTTGCAATTGTGAATCTAGGAATTCGCGTGGGCGTTTCGCTACTCAGTTTTACAATCACGCGGGCGATACCTGAATCGAATTTCTCCTTTCATCGTTAAATGCCGAGATGGAAATTGAAAGAGCCAGTTAGGAGAGCCAGGATTCTCGAAATGCATCGTGCAATAGATGATCCAACCAAATAAAACACAAAGATAGAATAGATAATCATGTCTTTCGCAGGATGATTTCGAGAAATATGCAAGGAAAAGTGGAAAAAGTATGAAATTAATAAAAGATCAAGTTAGAAAAATTAAAACTGTCTAGAGTATAAATAACACGATTATTTTTCAATATAAAATAAAAATATAATCGTATTTTATAATAGCCATTGAAAATGAATTTTAATGTTATCGTATTCAATTATCCCACTTGATCTTAAGGAAATATAATAAATAAAATGCGGAAGAGAGAGAGAGAGAAAGAGGAGAGCGTGGGATGTGTATACGTGCTGCTTTGTGGCCGAATGCGTCATCTCGTATTCTACGATCGTGCAGTACGTAACATGAATTATCCTCTTTCTTAAATTGTGCGACACAGAATATACGCATAAAACCATTATTCGAATGCGTGTCCGAGTGCGTAAACACGCCGAAATGCATAAAACATCGCGAGCAGGGATTTTTCATGACCATATACGATCGAGATTTGCATCGAATTTGTTCTTTTTAATTAGAAATCTGTAAAAAGAGAATTGCAAAATCCACAGTTAGACATATCCGAGCGAATCAAACGCAGCAACCTCTCGATATTGGACATTGTTGGCATGGTTCCACGATCCTTTCGAGAGACATGGAAGGAACTGCCGCGTCGGACAACTTGCGTAGGAGTAGAAAATTAATTAAACGATATTCTCGGAGAAGTCGATGCACGTCCATTTCCAATGTCTATTCGCAATAGCCAATTAATTAATTTCCTGTGCGACTACAGTCGGCGATCAACGCGAAGTAGATGTCGTATCTTCATGTCTATGCACAATTGATTAAATATTTAAAACGTCATTTTACAGTTGATTTCAGCAAATATATAATCAAGAATACAGATAACTACCGATTCTTAGCAAATTTAAACAGACTTTAAAGAGACTTAAAATTATCATTGATTGGTTCAAAAGCATGAAACGCATCAGATGTTAATTCTTTTTTATAATTTCTATTTTTTGTTTAATAAATACTCTTTATATAAGAAAAACTTATTATTACGCAATTATGCTAAAATGTGCCTGTAAAGTGTCAGACTTGGTGTCAGATGTTTAAGGTTCGCTTCAAAATGCTCGGAATATTTTTACTCCGTCACACGTTACTCGAGTCCAATGAATAAAACGGACAGGCGGGCTGATCTGGAATTCGTGCGATCTGCACATCCGACGTGGAACCTCGAGCGGTGGAAGTAATTCGAGGAGAGATCGAAGGAAACGAGCGGATACGTGAAGCACGTAGAATCCCGCTGCGAGGCTAT